GCGGGTAAAGCAATGCCATAAACCATCCCCAAATCACCATTTTTATAGGTGGCATGTTTATCATTCCCAGTCATGTTGCACATGACAGGACTATCAACCAGGGTGAGCCACCCAATGGGAGGCAGGACACGGATCTCAATGAGGCTATGAAAAGCATCCAATATTCATACCCATATATCTGAATAGGTATCTTGGATATATATATATGTACGTAAGTACAGTACGTAAGTACGTAAGTACGTAAGTATGTAAGTAAGTATGCAAGTATGTATGTAAGTATGTAAGTAAGTATGTATGTAGGTATGTAAGTATGTAAGTATGTAAGTATGTATGTAGGTATGTAAGTATGTAAGTATGTAAGTATGTATGTAAGTACGTAAGTATGTAAGTATGTAAAAATGTATGTATGTAAGTATGTAAGTATGTAAGTATGTAAGTATGTAAGTATGTATGTATGTATGTTTGTATGTATGTACGCAAGTACGTAAGTACGTAAGTAAGTATGCAAGTAAGTATGTAAGTATGTAAGTAGGTATGTATGTAGGTATGTAAGTATGTAAGTATGTAAGTATGTATGTAAGTATGTAAGAATGTATGTATGTATGTAAGTATGTAAGTATGTAAGTATGTATGTATGTAAGTATGTAAGTATGTAAGTATGTAAGTATGTAAGTATGTAAGTATGTATGTATGTATGTTTGTATGTATGTACGCAAGTACGTAAGTACGTAAGTACGTAAGTACGTAAGTAAGTATGCAAGTAAGTATGTAAGTATGTAAGTAGGTATGTATGTAGGTATGTAAGTATGTAAGTATGTAAGTATGTATGTAAGTATGTAAGAATGTAAGAATGTATGTATGTATGTATGTAAGTATGTAAGTATGTAAGTATGTAAGTATGTAAGTATGTATGTAAGTATGTATGTATGTATGTATGTATGTATGTATGTATGTATATGTATATGTATATGTACATGTACACGCGGATGTACACGGATATACACCATCCAATATTTATAGAAGCCAAACAGATAGGAATCGCCACGGAAAATCAGCATCAAATCGATGGAGTTAAAGCATGTTAAACCACTAGTTTCCCAAATTATCAGCACAATGATTGATGGTTTTTCCAGCATGTTAAAGCATCATTTGCCTATTGAATAATCGCCGTAATCAGCATTATTAACCATTATTAACCATTATTAACCATTATTAACCATTATTATTGATTATGAACCATTTTTGACCATTATTAACCATGGTTCAGCATTATTATTGACCATTAACCATTATTAACCACTACGATTGATGGTTCAGCCGCATCATTTCCCCAAAAACGGACCTCTGACGGCTTCAGCAGAGTCTTGCAACATCGCCTCGGCGGATTCAACGCGAGAGTGACACAGCAAAAAAGTGATGCTTTGGCTATGATGAAGTATATAAATATATAGTGTTGATTAGTAGTATATGATAGCATAAAATAGGAACTGGATGCGGTGAATATGTCTGAACATACATCAATGGTCATTTCAGGAACCTAACTTGGAGGTACCTACCATATATGATTAAGTATATAAACTAATTAGTAGTATAAACTATGGTTAATGGTTTGATTAATGGTTTGATTATATACTATCATATACTAATACTATAAATATATAGTGTTGATTAGTATATGATTATGATTATTATAGTATATGATTATGGCTATGATCGTTTGATAGTATATGATTGTACCAAACCATCACTAGTATATGATAGTATGAATCATATACAAATCGTTAGTATATGATAGTATGATTCATTCATTTTTTTGTTAAGTTTCATGCTAGTGTTGAATAACTAAGGCTTTAACCAATAATGTTTATTTTTTTCACTCTAATAATGTATATAAATATATAGTGTTGATTAGTATATGCTTAGTATATGCTTAGTATATGCTTAGTATATGCTTAGTATATGATAGTATATGATAGTATATGATAGTATATGATAGTATATGATAGTATATGATAGTATATGATAGTATATGATAGTATATGATAGTATATGATAGTATATGATAGTATATGATAGTATATGATTATGATTATGATAGTTTGATAGTATATGATTGTACCAAACCATCACATATTTGTAATTATATGATAGTATATGATAGTATATGATAGTATGAGTCATATACAAATCATTAGTATATGATAGTATGAATCATTCATTCTTTTTAAAGTGTAATGTTAGTGTTGAATAACTAAGGCTTTAACCAATAATGTTTATTTTTATCACTCTAACAATGTTTATTATCAATAATGTTTATATAATAGTGTTTAAACCAAAAACGCTTAACTCTCATTCCATGGAAAATCCATAAGCATTTTTTGGTGTTCACCACTGTAACCAATATGAGCTATTCGTCTTCAATAAAGCAAACTAACTATCAATAAGCGATGTTCACTAATGGGTTTCTTATCCAATAGGCAATGCTTAGTGTTTGACGAGTTGACATTGATGCTGTACTTTTGATGGTTGACAGTTGATAATTATCCCTACAATGGGAACACTTGGGAAGAATTTCATGGAAACGTGCAAAAACACACATCTCTGAAGCATGCAACCTGTCCAACACAACGTGCTTTCTCTCTTCACATGGTTGAAACTGTCTGCAACAATCAAGATCCTCCAATTTCTCCCATGTCTCAAAAACAACCCCAAACCACGCCATTTTGACCATCCCGTTGAATCTGGGCTATCTCACCATGCCATAGCATCCTGACACCAAGTGACATGGCTGGTCGAAGATCTTGGGTACTTCACAATCTGCGAAACGTAGGGAAGGATCCATAACTCCATAACCAACAATCATCCCATCTCCCTCAATCCCTAAGAAATCCCAGGGTTTAGATCATCAATTCCCTTATTATGGCCATAAAATCATATAAAATCTAGGTTGAATTCCCCATCAAAATCTTCCTAGTTGAATCCATCGCCTCCCAAAAATTGAGGCCAGGACGAAAGGGAAGACCACCATTGGGTCCCGCCGCGGAGTGTGGATCAGGATAACACATCACCGGACCTGATTCCCGAACAGCCGGCTGAAGCGTGAAGGTCAAACGCCATAGAAAAACACCTGAAAAGCTCAGATATTCGGATACTCATTACCTTACCTGCTAGAACAATTAGAATACTTGTAGCTAATTGACCTATGGAGGTTTTGATGTGTTTCGTGTGGTTACCCATGAATTCTCGCGTTGGTTTCAACGGTTGGAGCTTCGTCAGAGCTCTGGACGTGCACCGCCTCCCAGAACCGGTGGTGACCTGCGACAGCAGTGGATTTTTGGTGAACTTTGGTGAACTTTGAACTTTGATGCAGTGGATTTTTGATGATTTACCAATGATTTTCATTTACCAATGGATTCACCAAAGTTCCATTGATAAATCATATGGTTTCTGAACTGATGGTTTCTGAAGTGCCGATTCAGCAATGGATTCACTGATGGATTATTGTCCAAAGATTTTCCATCGATTTTCCATAGTTTTCACTGATCCAATGGATTTCAGCAGATTTTTAATGGTTAACCAAATGGTTTCTAAATATGACACCATTTTGTGGCTGTGAGTCTATTGCTGGAAAAAAATCAATCATGGTGATGGACAATCTTCCATTTATAACTTGATTTGCACATCAAAACCGCCATTTATAGCTGATTTACCAGCTTGCCACGTTTGATTACCGGGTAACTTCAGTTGTAAGCTCCAGAAAGACCTGTGACCTTTTTGCTCTGACGTCAAGAAAAAACCCTGAAAATCATGGCATCATGGCATCCGCCCTGTTGATAGGATACAGTATACCCGGCCTGGCAAACGTTTACAAAAACTATGGAAAGATCCACCATCTTTAATGGGAAAATCCACTATTTCTATGACCATTTTCAATAGCTTTTTGTATGTTTACCAGGCCGGGTACCCCAAGAAGATGCCGAAACCTGATTTTCTCCATGATTTCAGCTGGATTTTCCCTTCCTAGGGGATTGCAAATCACAACGGAGAAGTCCGTTACAGTGGGCTCTGCCACATTTCCGTTGAGCCCAAAGAATTGGGAAGCCCCAACTTTGTGAGGATCGACATATGGACATCAGAAACACTCAGTGTTTCTCAGATTTTGCTTGAAACCTGCTTTCTAATCTGGTTGGTGGTTGACCTACCCATCTGAAAAATGACATTCAAATGGGGTGATGACATTCCCAACTGAATGGAAAAACATGTTCCAATCCACCAACCAGCCTGCTTTCTAATGTTGTTCGGCGCAAACGCACCAAAAAATATGGACACCATCGTTGCGCGATCACTTTGAATGATCAACCGATGTGTCACCCGGACTTCGGATGACAATCGAAGAGGTCTTTGTCGGTCTTCCCTTTCGCTGTCAATCGAAGAATTTGTAGGTCCTTGGATCGCGACCGTCCATGGGGAAGAATTTTCTGGCCCGGTTGGTCTGACCAATGTTCAGCCCATGTCGGGTATCCCCATGTTCGCCAGATGGTTGTTTGAGAAGATATTTTTCCCCACCCACATTGCAATCTGACCTTGTGAAACTCACCTTTTGCAAGACATGGGATGCTATTTTTGAGAGGTTGAACATCACCAAGCTTCATGGCTTTCAAAAGTGGACCCCAAACTGGGGGTGGCAAATCACATGTTTCCCCAGCTGTTTTCTTCAAAGCAAAGGCCAAAAAAGTGAAACAACAGAGTATCGTCACTTAGATGCGAAACATGAACATATCTTCTATGTTTACCATCTGGGTATTTAACATAGCCATGGAAAGATCCACCATTTTTAAGTTCGGTAAACCATCTATTTAACTATGGGCCATCAAAAAACAATGGCGAACTGTGAGTTAGTCATAACCAGAGGGTAACACCACTTTCAACGCCATTTTAGATGATGATGTCAGATGTCAGATATCAATTTTCGCTGGGATTCTCTATTCATCTGAACTCACTCAACTGCGGTCATCCACCATTTTTTCAAGCCAAGTCGCATAGCACATTTGGCCATAGACCCCGGAACTTCTTTGCGGGGCGAGGTCAAAATGCTTCGACAATTCTCTGAAGAACTCTGGATCCTAGCAATTCGACCAAATCCACCAACCAGCTTCGGTCATTTAAGCTACAGGGTGGGGCCCCCAAGATAGCGTTCAGTTGGTTTACAAGTGGTTTAACAATGGTTTATGGTAGATATAACGAACTAGTTAAGGGGGTTATAATGGTTTGTAAACCAACTTATAACTGGGGGGCCCCATCCTGTATGGAAAATGGATGAATATGGCCCATTCATAGAGGATTTACCTATTAAAAACTGGTGATTTCCATAGCAAACTGTTAGTCAGTACCAGAGGATCTCCACCGTGCAGATACTTGGAGTACCCTCTGGTAAACTCAGAGTTTGCTATGGAACATCGCCATCGAACTAACAAATCATCGAACTATTCCTGGGCATACCATAGCTATGTTAGTTCACTGCAGGTAAACCCAATGTTTTCCATAGTAAAACAACCCGGGTTTTCCTTCCGAAGATCCTGACATCATGGGATATCATGGGAGAAACCCTCTCAACTCCAATCATGAAGCCAACATGAAAATAGCTCTTGTCATGTTGGGCCAGCTATGGGGATGATGCCCTGGACACTCACCATTCACGAAAAGTTAAGCCGACGCCTTCGGTCATGATCAAATTCATCCAAATATATATACCCTCTGGTAAACTAACATAGCTATGGAAAATCACCATTTTTAATGGGAAAATCCACTATAAATGGCCATTTTCAATAGCTATGTTAGTTTACCAGAGTGTATATATATATATGTTCAACGATAATCCAACATATTTCAATCATTATAGGCATCATTAATTATTCCCATGATATGGAATCATTTATGATGAGCCATGATGAACGATATTTGAAACTCCCCAATGTTTTATAACATTGGTTTAATCCCTATGAAAATCACTATGAATCCCTAGCAAACATCGCTAAAACCCCATGGTTTTTTGGGCGCAGCGTTTCTCCTCTACGTTTCGAGGGCGAAATGCCATGACGAACTGCAGCTGATGGTGAGCGGCGGCCAAAGCAATTAAGGTCACCAGCAACTGCCTCGAAGCCTCGACGTCCTCGTCGAGTCGTCGAGTCCGCAAGAATTGATGGGTTAATTGATGGTTTTTGAATGATGGTTTGATGGGTTCTTTATATTTATTTGGTGGTTGACCTACTCCTCTGAAAATATGAAAGTCAGTTGGGATGATGAAATTCCCAGTTTGATGGGTTAATGGGTTTATGAATGGTTTAATACTGATGGGTTCATGATGGTTTGATGGGTTTATGATGGGTTCTTTATATTTATTTGGTGGTTGACCTACTCCTCTGAAAATATGAAAGTCAGTTGGGATGATGAAATTCCCAGTTTGATGGGTTAATGGGTTTATGAATGGTTTAATACTGATGGGTTCATGATGGTTTGATGGGTTTATGATGGGTTCTTTATATTTATTTGGTGGTTGACCTACTCCTCTGAAAATATGAAAGTCAGTTGGGATGATGAAATTCCCAGTTTGATGGGTTAATGGGTTTATAAATGGTTTAATACTGATGGGTTCATGATGGTTTCATGGGTTAATGATGGTTAATTGATGGGTTTATGATAGGTTCTTCATATTTATCTGGTTGGTGGTAGTTTTACGGGTCCCCAAGTCACCAATGTTGACCAATACGAAGTGATCATCCATGACTTGGATGATAACTGGGGTACCCAGCATTTTCTGGGAACACCTCCACGTTTTTGTCAGTCACCTATAATTGATGGATTTAAACGGCGGTGTAAATATACAATTAATTCTAGCTAGGACAATTAAATAATGAATGAACTGGAATAATTAACTAAAGTGGGATACCCAATGCCATAGACCTACCATGACTGGGGATGGTGTTTACAAACCATTTATTTACGGTGATTTTGGGGATGGTTTATCATTGGGTTTGCCACATAATAAACTTCAGTTGTTTATATGTTTCACCAAACATTTGGGCGGCTGTATTGGTCATTCACATTTTGGCATTTTTGGTACTCTGTAAGCTTTACACCAACACTTGGTTGTTGTTGATGATGGATATTTATCAACTAAACTTGGATTTGCTTCAAGAACACAAACATGAACCATCTCCCCGAAAGTTTTCCCATAGATTTTCCATAGTAAGAAGGATGTTTATTAACATTGCCAATCTTAGATACCCGGCAAAAAATGACAAATTCTTTGCTGGTGAACGTGGATATTCCCAGCCATATATCAAAAGACTAGTTAGGATTAGTTTGTACCCATCTAAGATTGACCTAGAATGGATTCACCAAAGTTCCATTGATAAATCATATGGTTTCTGAACTGATGGTTTCTGAAGTGCTGATTCAGCAATGGATTCACTGATGGATTATTGTCCAAAGATTTTCCATAGATTTTCCATAGTTAAAATGATGTTTATCAACTAAAGGATGGTCTCCATTGCTGGGGTGCTTCAGTACTGACCCGTTTCTCAACTGACACGTCTGTTTCACGTGTGAACATTTCTGGTTGAGTCACCCATTCCACATTTTGGGTCTAAAAATAGGGCACCCCCCAAAATCCATTCATTGATCTAGGCATCTTTCCCATTAAACTGGCAAGAAAGATCAAGAAAGTGGGGAAAGATGCCTAGATTGATCAAGAAAGTGGGGAAAGTGGGGAAAGATGCCTTTCAATTAACGGGGAAAGATGCCTAGATTGATCAAGAACGTGGGGAAAGTAGGAAAAGATGCCTTTCAATTAACTAGGAAAGGTCAAGAAAGTGGGGAAAGATGCCTAGATTGATCAAGAAAGTGGGGAAAGTGGGGAAAGATGCCTTTCAATTAACTAGGAAAGGTCAAGAAAGTGGGGAAAGATGCCTAGATTGATCAAGAAAGTGGGGAAAGTGGGGAAAGATGCCTTTCAATTAACTAGGAAAGGTCAAGAAAGTGGGGAAAGATGCCTAGATTGATCAAGAACGTGGGGAAAGTGGGGAAAGATGCCTTTCAATTAACTAGGAAAGGTCAAGAAAGTGGGGAAAGATGCCTTTCAATTAACTAGGACAGGTCAAGAAAGTGGGGAAAGATGCCTAGATTGATCAAGAAAGTGGGGGAAGTGGGGAAAGATGCCTTTCAATTAACTAGGAAAGGTCAAGAAAGTGGGGAAAGATGCCTTTCAATTAACTAGGACAGGTCAAGAAAGTGGGGAAAGTGGGGAAAGATGCCTTTCAATCAACTAGGAAAGGTCAAGAAAGTGGGGAAGTATTCCATGTTCAAAGTTCCATGCTGAACCCCGCAGGTAAATCAACAAAAGGTCACTGGTGAAACTTCAAAAGCGCATCAAGTTTGCTGCAGAGCAGTGTTCAAAATCCCTCCATGAAATACATGAAATACTGGTTGGTGAAAAACGAACGGGACATGTTCCGTTCTTGGATTAGTGTGGTTAAAGCAATAATAAACCATCCCCCAAATCACAATTTTTATAGGTGCTATAAACCATTCCCAGTCATGGGTGGTAAAAATGGCATTGGTTTAACCAAATTAATCACAATAATCACATTTGGTTGGTGGTATACCTACCCCTCTGAAAAATATGAAATATGAGTTCGTCAGTTGGGATGATGACATTCCCAATATATGGAAAGTCATAAAATTCATGTTCCAAACCACCAACCAGATATATAATATATGATATTACCATATCAATATTCCCATAGTAAGTTTGTCAATATGGCATTGGTTTAACCACATTAATTTTCCCCCCAAGAAGTCTAAGGGTGCAATTTTTTCAAACAGCAAGCCATAAATTGCAGGATGACCTGACCATTTTATCAACCATTTTCATGGGTGTTTATACACCAAACAGAACTGATGATGTTGAAGTTGGTGTTTAAAGGCATAGATATATAATTGTTATCTCCAAAATATCAATGGGAATTTCAGGATCCTTATTTTGGAGGTACTGTACCATATACCATATAAGGCCATATTTTGCCGGGATATTCCCTGAAATTTAGGCCTGAAAAATAGCCCTTATATATGGTAGGTACCTCCAATTTAGGTTCCTAGAATGGCCATTGAATTTTACACAACTGGGTGTCCAAGAAACATACACCAAGTCCGCCATCACCTCAGTCTCCGAAGTGTGAACAACTCCAATGTAACATACTTTGAAGCTCATCCCACTTAGTAGACTACAACCTTAGAACCTTCGTTTTTTCAGTGGATGATCATCCTACTCCTGAAACAACCAGGGATATCACCTACTCAGTAAATGGGATGAACCATATCCTTGGGGCATGATGTGATCTTTGCTTTGACCCAATGACCCATGTTGCCATGGTTGGATGAATCAACGATTAATCAACTGGGAAAACTGTCACGCTCATCTTCAAGAATTCCAGGTCATTTTCAGTCGGATCTTTCTTTTTGGTCAAGTTTTTCTCGCCATTCTAGGCTCAAAATGGTTTCCTCCGAAAATGGTCCAATTTGCCAATGTATGCCACTAGATTAATCTATCGCACCATGCGAAAAGATACACATATCATTTACCCTCTGGTAATTTAACATAGCTATTGAAAATGGCCATAGAAATAGTGGATTTACCCATGGAAAATGGTGGATCTTTCCAGTTCGCAAACGGTTAAATTACCAGAGAGTATCACTCAGGAATCTCCTTCTGGGCCTGGATATACCATCCACTAAAAATGGCCATCATTTCTATCTGTCCCATCGAAACCTCCACTTTGGAAATGCTTCGCTTAGAAACTCAGTTCCATCATTGGAATTCCGACTTCCAAAGTCGGAAGTCTAGCCATGAAAATCTCCAGGGTCTTGCCATGAAAAATCCCAAAATGATTCCAGGATTTTCATGGCTTGATTGATGTTCGATGACCCACTTGGGACATGATTTTTATTGAAAAAAACTTCAAAGAAAAGAAAGACCGCCATGAATCTCATTGGAACAACGCACAGTTTTGGATGGTGAAACTCCCAATTTTGGATGATGGTTGAATCACGTTTTCATCAATTTTTTTTTTTAATCACCATGGATACTAATTCATTTCATGAAATTATCATGCATTTTTAGGGCACCCCCATTGTATGCTCCCAAATATGTGTTTTTATCCCTCACACCCATCATGTTGATTCTGGGGGTGTTTAAGGGCTGAACGGGGGAAGGGATTAATAGTTGTTAGTAGTTACTCATCACATTTGCAATAGCAATAATGATAACAATATTGAACGCAACAATAATAACATTAATGATATCATTAATGCGGATCATAAAATGAAATAACATTAATGATATAATTGATCATTATTTATAGCCCACAACAATAAAGTAACAGAATAGATAGTAAGAATAATACATCTAGCACTAATAATCAGAACACTCAACAAGTGACAAAAATAGAAAACACATAATAACAATAATAACAATAATAAATATAGTAATAAGAACAATGTGGTCAAAACAATAATAACACATCCCCCAAAACACCATAAATAGGTGCTACAAACCATTCCCAAATGGGTGGTTTATTATTGTTTTAACCAAATCCATCACAATAATCATAGTTGGTTGGTGGTATACCTACCCCTCTGAAAAATATGAAAGTCAGTTGGGATGATTGTTCCCAATATATGGAAAATGTTCCAAACTACCAACCAGATATATTATATATGATATTCCCATATGAATATTCCCATAGTACGTTTGTCAATAGATCTACCATAAAGGCCATGTTCCAGTCACCAACCAGATCATAACTGATGAGTGTTAGTGGGCATAGAGTTCACCACTTATATCTATAGAATCTATAGGATAACCCCACATTGGGGACTTACATCAGGGTTACTTACATCAGGATAACCATAGTAAAAACAATAAAAAAAATCCATAACATCTATTAACCACTATTAACCCTTATATAAACCTCTATTAACATCTATTAACCACTATTAACATCCATTAACTGACCCGTATAATATAACCCATATAGTAACAACAATAAAAAAGTCCATGCATCGTCGCCACGTCACCACCACGTCCAGCGATTTGTTCAGGTCCGGTGGAAGTTGGGTGCCCCACTCGTGGGGAATCACCTCGTGAAATGTTTTGGGAACATCCCAATGGATCCCAATGAAACATGAATGGATAGTAACTTATGGAATATAGCCACATCATTTATACTCATGGACTATATAATTTAGTCCATTAATATAAGCGATATGGAATATTGATGATCGATATTACTATAAACTAATATCATAAGGAACATGTTCATATCGTGGGATAGCAACTTTCATGGACTATTTCATGATAGTAAACTTTATCGCATCACTATGATGACCCCATGATGAAAGCAACTTTTATGGACGCTTGTAATCATAGTACTGATCATCATGGGATCATCATGTGATACCCTCTGGTAAATTAACAGTTGGACCCTGAATCCATAGCCATAGAAAGTTCGTGGATTTACCCAATAAAAATGGTGGATCTTTCCAGTTCGTTATGTAAGTTTACCAGGCCGGGTAAAGCTCCATTTTCCTATGGCTTTCCAGCAGTTTTTAATGGTTTCACGAATCTGAACCAACCCCCATGCCAGGGTCGATCAAAAAGTGGGATCACCGGTGATCATCATGAATCACAACGGAATATCATACGGGAATAGTTTTTTATTACTGTAATAATACATAATCAATAAATAATCATACGATGATGATAACAATAACAATATTAATAATTAATAACAACAACAATAATAATATGACAATCATAAAATTAATATGATAAAAATAATAATAAAGTGGAAGACAGTGGTGTAATACTGGAATAATCATGACCAATGAATGGAACCGTGTGATACAAAAATACGGGAGAATCATATGGGATTTGCTCCTTGACTCTCCATGGGAGTTGCTGGGATTGTAATTGGAAGTGGGATAATATGGGATAATATGGGATAACAAAAACATCAATAATGGGAATAATGTGGGGTTATGGGATTAATGGAAATTATGGGATTGTGGGATTAATTATTATCAATGGAATATAAACTATGGGATAATTGTTAAATTGCATAATTGTAATGGGATAATTATCATGAATTGTCAATAGAAGTTGGATTAGAATGGAACCTGTGAAGCATTTAACCTGTGAAGCCAAACCATTAGGAATGTACCTTGGGCATGTCAGGTTTCTTTCCTTTTGCCCCGCGGGTTCAAGCAAAACAACACTTGAAGCTTCAAATGCACTGAACCCATGACTTACACATCCACAATCTCTTCTGGCTGGTGGTTGACCTATCCCTCTGAAAAATATGAAAGTCAATGGGAAGGATTACATCCCATATAGAAAATGGAAAACAACACATGTTTGAAACAATCAACCAATCTTTTATTGCATGGCTTGAAACACTAAACAAATTAAAGGACCAGATCACCCCACATGTTAAGCCTTCCGATTGTTATGAACGGAAGATATGTATTTGAATGCAATAAATTAGAACCCCACATAATGATGTGGGGAATAAAACACTCAAACATCAACGGGTCAGTTTTGACAGATGAAACCCGTTCTTAGTGAGGATCTGGTCTCTTAATTGAGCCGTCATTTGGGGCTTCATCATCCCAACGTTATGGTTGCCACAAAAAACACCTTAAATATCAATGAAGTTACAGGATGGCGCCCCCCAGTTGTGTTTGTTAGTTTATAAACCCCATTAACATCCGTTAACTAGTTCGTTAGATCTACTATAAACCATAGAATTCAGCAACTTTTTTTAGGCAACTGAACGCTATGGAACGGCGGTCCCATCCTGTACCAAGCACAGAACATGTTGGTTGAATGCATCCCCATTTACAATCATTTATTGATCTGGCGGGTTCCATAAATGGGGTACCCCTTTATCGCTGGATGGTTTATTTCATGGAAAATCCCAATCAAAAATGGATGAGAACTGGGGGTACCCCTATTTCAGGAACTTTCATCTGCTATACAGTGTCTATGATATTTTTTTCCAACATCGCAGGTTAAACCCCATACACCGCCGACCGAATAGTCAGATGGGGTCGACCTTTTGACCCATGCCCATTCGTCAACAAAAACTCAAAAGAAATGATGGTTACCCTCTGGTAATCAAACATGGCAACAAACAAACTCTCCCGTTTGCAGTTGACTTTCCCATTAAAACCTGAATTTAGTTCGGGGATTTCCCAAGTAGCCATGTTCGATGGAGGGTAACCTAACTTTGATGATTCACCATTTTGGATGGTCACCCGACTTGAAACAAACAGCAAATGTGGGTTTGTCGGATCATTTAAGGGGAACTCCCGTGCCATCCGCTCATCATATTCTCTCTGTTGAATTTGCGAATAATTGGAGGATCTACTGAATTTTCAGAGACACCCAAGTATCCTGTATATCCCATTCTTGTCCTATCGTTATCCCCAGCAAAAATGTTCATTTTCGATAGTTGCACCACAGTTCTTTTCCAAGTCATCCTTGAATCACACATTTTCATGCATTTCCCCCATTTTCAAGGCTTCAACCACACTTTCTCCTTCTTATTTCATACTTAAACCATCATTTTTCACCATTTTGATGGTTAAACCCAGCATTTCCCCCATTTTTTCACCATTTTGATAGTTAAACCCAGCATTTCCCCTCTTTTTTCAGGGTTTTTCCCAGCGCTTTGTTTGGCGCCTGGACGTCCAGTGTGAGGCCACGAGCTCGGTTCAAGGCCACGTTGAAATGCAACAAGGCCGTGACGTCAGGCAGATCGCTGAGGCAAACCTGGCGATCTTCCAGGGCACTGATGAATTATCAATGGGAACTCCACTGAAATTTAGGCCTTACATAGGCCATATATATATATATATGGTAGGGATATCTAGGGATATTAAACCAGTAAAATAAATATACCATCAGCTGATTGGTATATTATCCCAATATATAGATATATATATATAGGATCATGATATATTTCTATGTATACCATGGTTCAATGGGAGATCTCCCTAAATTTTAGGCCTGAAAAATAGGCCATATATAGGGTAGGGATATCTAAGGATATATCTAGGAATATCTTATCTCCGAAATATCACTGGGAATTTCAGGATCCAATTGATGGAGGTACGTTAGTACCATATGTTTGGCCATATTTTTGTAGGGATATTCCCTGAAATTTAGGCCTGAAAATTAGGCCTGAAAATTAGGCCTTATATATGGTAGGTACCTCCAATCTAGGTTCCTGAAATGGCCATTGGAATTACTTAGGTATAACCATCATAATAATCTGGTTGGACGAAAATAAAAAAAATACCCTCTGGTAAACATACAAAAAAACTATAGAACATGGCCATAGAAAGTGGATTTGCCTATTTCCAAATGGTGATTTTCCATAGTCACGTTAGTTTACCAGAGGGTACTCAGTTATAACCAACGTTATAATATACTACCGCCTGGTTCTTCCATAGTTACGTTGGTTTTACTGGTTGGTGGTTTTAACCATCTTGAAAAATATGAGTTCGTCAGTTGGGATGATGAAATTCCCAATATATGGAACAATAGAAAATGTTCCAAACCACCAACCAGTAATAGTATAATACCGCCAGGTTTTTCATGAATGGCATTGATTATAGTTATACATATAATTAGTGTTAATCAATAGTTATAACTAGTTAATAGTTCGTTAATGTTGTCATTCTTAGGTTAAAGTTGGTAGTAACAGTGTATCACACTAATAGTATCTATCATAATAGTATCATAGTTCATAGTATCCATAATAGTGTTAATAGCATCTATAAATAAGTTAGTAATAGTACTATATGCATGAAAATGTCAATGGGATAATATATGATAATATCTATTATCGAAATGGGGTGATCATGTTAATAATCATTCTATTCCATTCATGTAAAGATTATATATATACACATCACCCCATTTAACACTAATAATAGTAGCAATATAATATATAAGTGCCTTCTTTTGTGCCATCGACGGATCATACCTATTAGTTAGTAGTCGTGTTAATAATGTTGTCCCATTAGTGTGAATATACACTACAGTTTTTTTCGTTGCACCATCATCAACAACTTACGCATATACATATCAACATCATCAACAACTTATACATATATATATATATAAATACACATATATATATACACATATATATATATATGTATATACGGTAACTACATTTAAATATACGGATTTTTAATATACGAACAGGTATTTTAGACTACCTCCGGGAAGGTTTTCCTTGGCCCGCCCAGTCATTTAAACATACGGAATCCAATTCATTTAAACATACCGTAACTACATTTAGATATACGAACTGGTATTTTTCATACTACCTCCGGGGCCTCGCGGTTTGGCCCGCCCTCCGCATATTTAAATGTCGTTACCGTATATATAAATACATGGGTCAATACCTCTAATACCATTTAGGACGATGAACCAGTGGTACATGGTTTTGACCATTAAATATTACCTATAATTGCTAAATACCAAATACAATTTTTTTGACCACTATTATCCAAAATACCATATATCATATACCCAATACCTATACCCTCTGGCAAACTAACATAACTGTGGAAAATCACAATTTTAGTGGGTAAATCGACTGTGAATGTGCCATTTTCAATAGCTTTTTGTATGTTTACCAGAGGGTCACCATTGCTATTTTGATGTCAATATATACCCTCTGGTTAATTTAACATAGCTATTGAACATGGCCATTTATAGTTGATTTATCCATTAAAAATGATGATTTTCCATAGTTTTTTGTATGTTTACCAGAGGGTAACCAATATTGCCCAAAATGGATCAAAATACCATATAAATACCAATACCATATGCCATATATGGCCATGGATCAATACAGGATGGCGCCCCCAGTTGTAAGTTGGTTTATAGATCAGTATAACCCGTATTAACCAGTTCGTTAGATCTACCATAAACCATAGAATTCAGCCACTTTTTCTAGGCAACTGAACGCTATGGAACGGCGGTCCCATCCTGTACCAAGCACGGAACAAGTTGGTTGAATGCATCCCCATTTACAATCATTTATTGATCTGGCGGTTTCCAGAAATGGGGTACCCCTTTATCATTTCCATTTCCAGCCCCAGTAACTAGAGTTATGTGCGTACCATAAACCATAGTTATTGGGGTTATAAACCACTTAGATATCTGGGGGGCCTCACATTGTAGGTATTGATCCATGGCCATATATGGCATATGGCATTGGTATTTATATGGTATTTATATGGTAATTATATGGTAATACCAATACCTTGTATAAATATCATATAAATAGCAGTATCTATGTCCACTATGTATCTATGAATAGTAGTGGATATCTGTATAGATAATTATAGATACATATTATCTGCTTCGACCATCGGGGGGGGGCCTTGGCTCCCCACAGGGCGCAGCTCAGTCCGACCAGCCCTGTGCCGCTCCCAAGCTCCAGGTAGGTCCCTGGCTGCCAGCTTTCGGCCAGATACCTGGGATAGACACATCAGCTGATTGGTATATTATACATTATATATATACCATGTATATATATATATGCCATGTATATATATATATATGCCATGTGTGTGTATATATATATATCAATATACGATATTATTATACATAGGTATTGATATATAGGTATATATATACTTGGGTATTGGTATATTAATATATAGGTATATATATATATCATCCCATTCATATTGATTTACATATTATATATATAAATATTATCCCATTACTTGTATATTGGTTGATTTGTTTTTTTTTTTAATATGAATGGGATACATATCTATAAATATATTTCCAGAATAATGGGAGACTCACATTGCGATTTTGGAATGGTATATTATATACCAATATCGGTATAATATATATATATATAATGGGATAATCATTGAATATGATGGATTTATATTGAAATGAAATCATTGACATCATGAATATCTAGACTTAATACTGCGGGAATGGTGTGTATGTATATATGTATATATAAACAACTATTCATGATAACTGTTGTAACTGGTTGGTGGTTTGAACCATCTTGAAAAATATTAGTAAATGGGAAGGATTATCCCATATATTATGGAACATAATTTACGTGTGAAACCACCAACCAGATAATATCATCCCCCGTTTTTTGCGGGTTGAAGAGCCAAAACGTTTCTTGAGAACGGGATCCCAAAGGTTCATGGAGTAGCCCAAGATATACTGATTGGTGGTTGAGCCTACCCCTCTGAAAAATATAAGTTCGTCAGTTGAGATGATGAAATTCCCAACTGAATGCAAACATAATCCATTCATGTTCCTTAAAGCACCAATCAGTAAATTCCTATTGATTGAGATTATCAAATCCCATTGAGTGCACCATTAGGGGTAAGTCGCTAATAGCCATTGCCAATCTTAGATACCCTGCAAAAAGTTAAATTCTTTGCTGGTTAGTAGATATTCCCATAAATACCAAAAGACTAAAGGATTAAAGTATCCATGTAAGATTGACCTAATAACCGTGGTAAACATCTCCGCGCTCATCAACACGTCTCGCAGCTGCGAGAAGTCTTGTCGGGATCATCATCCTGCGTATTGATTAACATGAGAACTGTGCATGAGGCCACCAGTAATTGATGGTTAATTTTATGGTTAAAACATATGGTTACCAGTACTTAATGGTATTTAACCATGAGATAGCCATGTAGTGATTTGTAACATGTGAGTTAACCAGTAATTTGGTGAATTTTCTGGCTCATGTTCCATGAACATGTTGTTTTTGGTTGAGAGTGACACCTGATTTTTGATATGCCCAGATATGCCAACGGCTCACCTTACATACCTTTTGTCGTTTTCCCATCAAAATGACACTCTAAGAAGTCACCAACTTGCCACCAAGGTTACTTGGAGAAGCTGAAGAATGGACTTTGGGGCAAAGAATGCGGTTTCGGAACAATCACTGGTTCTGTCTTGCCATGTTTCCCCCCTCACACTGTGGAGAATTTCACCGGAGTCAAAGGAAACATCTTCCCAATGCTCATCGCATTCCCTTCTCTCAAACCACTGGAACAACCCAACTCTAATCCCCCATGGCGAATTGAGAATCAGGTGTCAGGTCACCGGTATGGAAAGTAGCAGCTGAGTTTTTAATCCGATTTTCCCCTTGGAGAACCCCCAATATGTTGTTGATTTGCCATGGTTTTTCTATAGTTTATGAATATATCTATAAAACTATTTGGACTATTTTCTGGAGATGGTTTATCTAGTATGTGCTTGGGAAACTCTTGGTAGCTCCAAATCGCTCCCCATGAAAAATAGGGAATATGAATAGCCATAGCTCCAAATCGCTCCCTCTATAGTTATTGTTCACCACTGGATAGCTATCTTTCAGGATCATCCCACGGATGCTTCGTAACACTAGGTGAGTTGCAAACGCCGAATAGGCCATCACGGTATATCCCACGGTATAGTAAGTAGCTTGTATCCTAGTTATAAATGGAGAAGTAGGATTAAGCAAAACTGAAAAAACAGAAAAGCAGGGTGAACTAACCAACTTAGTAAGTGGTTCATGAGCCACCAATATAGAACATCATCAATCAACAGTAATATTGAACATTTTACCAACCAGTTACAATTCCGGGGATGACCCTCCAAAAATAATTCACCATCAATAATGATACATATCATTCCAACCCTTAATGGGATATCACTTAGCTAATAGTCTCTTAATAATTCACCAGCGGTTTTCATGATCCATTCGCCATTACTAACCATTATTAACCACTATTAACCACAATTACTCAATATCAACCACTATCAACCACTATTAACCACTATCGACTAAGCAATCCACTTTTTCCCTGGGCGATCTCCGTGGGGTGTAAGCAGCGCAGCTGGCGCGCCACGCATTTTGTTTTCGAAGCCCGTCGCCCATATCTCAGATTCTACTCACTTCACCTGCCGCGAGGTAAAACATCCCGGTTAGAAATTCATAGTGAATCAATGTGAACAGTTTATAGAGAACTTACTTAAGAGTTGATAGTTAAGAGTTAGTACTAGTACTTAGTTAGTGTATAAATATATATGTATATAATAACTAAATAATAAATATATAAAAATAGATATAAATATACATATATATATAAATATATATAAATATATAAATATATATAAATATATATAAATATATATAAATATATATAAATATATATAAATATATATAAATATATAAGTACATATATATATACATAAATATATAAATACATATAAATATATACATATCTACATTGTGAAACAAACACACATGTGGTTCAGGATATATAGTTCTAAGTTCAGCACATGAATATACATTACAATCACTTGTAGCTCCGAGTTCATGAGTCAGAACGTCAATATCTCTGCGATTCCCGGTTTTACCTTTTTTTGGCTTTTTCATTAAACCGGCATCCTCCATTTGAAGCTGGTTGGTGGTATACCTACCCCTCTGAAACATATGAAAGTCAGTTGGGAATATTATTCCCAATATATGGAAAGTCATAAAATTCATGTTCCAAACCACCAACCAGGAAGGCTTTTGGCATTCACCTCAATTCTGGTTGTAAGGTCTTGGCGTTGTGATGTGCAAGGCCTTTGTCGGTTCTTCAGATCTTTGCATCGACGACACTTGACATGATCGTCTCAAAACTGCAGACATCCACCAAGATTTCAATCTGGGTAAATTATAATACTTCACTAACCTGAATTGTTGGGCATTAAGGCCATAAAAGGGGATCATTTCTTTATATTAACCATGATGAATCAGGGTTCGGGAGAACAGGCTTCGGTCGTGATGAAATTTACCCAGATTTTAATGATGTGAACCAAGGATAAGTTGCCCCGATGATGTGAGGATCCCATTTTGTAGCACACACTTTCTGGGCCTAACCCCTGGATCAATGCAGCTAAGCAGGGCCGACACATTTCCAAAAAGTTGGTGATACAGTGAACATCCAACTCTGAAAAAACCCATTCTTGCGACTCAAACTCCCAACAACTCGATTTTTTGGGTAAGTAACTAGCTTTCTGGTTGAATTCCTGATCTTGGTGGGTCATCTGTGCTTTTTTCACCACCAACTGCTGCTGGCTATGTCATCTTTAGTCAAATCCCCAAGGCTTTGTCAAAACCCTCGAATTCTCGTTGTTTACCCCACAGCTCTCAACGACGAATCCAGGTGGTTTTTTTGACCCGTCGAGAACCCTTTTCCCTCACTCGCCAAATTCTTCGATGGGCTGGATTTCATCTTACACACATAACACACATCACACACGTATAGATACACATAGACATATAGACATTTAGACATGTTCAAAGACACACACACATATATATATTATATCTATACCCATATATTATATTATATTTATCTATATATATATATATTAGGAGGCTCCTTGTCCTCTTTATTTAGGGTTATGGTGAGGATGGATACCCCTAGCTGGAACTATATCTTGGGTGGCTGGAACTATTTAAAATGATGGTTAGAACTACTTTAAACCCTGTTAAACATCTTCAAAAAAACCATCAGAACTATATTCATTTTTGTCTAAAAATGGTCAGAACTATATTTTTTTTATCCAAAAATGGTCAGAACTATATTGTTGTTTTTCCAACAATGGTCAGAACTATATTGATTTTTGACCATAAACAGTCAAAGCTATAAAGCCATGTAAGACCATGTGTCAAGTTTATGACACAATTCTTAGTGGGCAAATCCCGGATGGTTGGGCCATTTTTCGGGCAACAAACGCCCACACTAATATATCCTCAAGAATAACCTTCAACATGCAGGAATTATGTTATATCATGTTGTATAAGTTGTATATTATATTTGCATATTGCATATCACAAATCATTGTGCAATCCTTGGCCAGGGCTGAGTTGAAATCAGATGGCCTGGAAATTCAAGGGAAAGCAGGCCCAGGAAATTCAATAAAAAGGTCCAGCTTGCATAGTATATATGTGCCTGACCTTAAACAGATGCTAGTGATACTAGCTACACCAACAAACCTGATGGCTGTATTATTGCATTGTTCCTCCAACGCAGGTCCAGGTGGGAGTGTGACAAAGCAACCCACATGTGGCCAGTATTTTTGCTCAATATAGGCAAGGTCTCCCATTGGTCGGAATGACCACAGCAGTTTCGGGTGATCGGTCGGGGCTCGATGATGCTTCAACTGTTTGGGGAACTTCAGACTCAGAGCCTGAAGCAGTTGCAGATTCTGAACTTCCACCTGATCTCCTTGAGTGACTTGTTTAAATGGCCATGTCATGTTCATGTTCTCCCTCCCAACGGTTTCTAACTTGATCCATTTGTTTTTGTACACCTTATTGCGATCAGGAAGGACCACACACACACACAATCAAACCGTTGGTTTTTCCCGACCGATATGCAGTTCAAAGCTGAAGTACACATCAACAGCAGCATTCCTTGTTGCTCATTTCACTTTGGGGGTAAGAAATTTCAAAAAAAATCAGTCTGACTGCAAATGGTCGAAGGAGATTATATATGATGCTGTGACATTGCGCCATCCAACCTTTGATGTCGACAGGAAATTTGACTTAATTTTTCGGTTTCGAGTACATCAGCTTCATGATGTTCAGATCCCTGCTTGAACAGTTGAATTTAGGAAACCATTTTTTTGGGCGTGGTGTACATGTGAAAAACCCTGCTTTCCACCCAAGCTCCACTTAGGACATGGGCTTGGAGAAGCCTGGTTGCATGTTGTGGACCAAGAACATCATTCAGCTTCCCGAGCCCAACATCCCACAGCTTTCTGCTTCGGAGCACTAGCTGTTGGAGAATTGCTCGACGCTTGGCCAAAGTCGATGTTGTTTGCAAATCAAATTTGATGTCCTGTCTTTTTGCTTTGAACGCAACAGAACGTAAGATTACTCATCACGGCATTACGGCAAAACTTGTAGCTTTGAAATTCCAAACGCTAGTGGTTCCTTTATTCCTGTTTGTCCGCAGTCAAGCGCGGATTGGTTTCGCGCATCAGGATCACTTTGGTTGAGGAATGCGCTGGAGCAGCTACGGCAACATATGCAATGCAACCAAGCTGGTCCAAACTTGTTATTTCAAGCGGGTATTGCAACTTTCTGGGGTGTGTGCGGGGTGTTTTTGTCTTTCCGCTGGGCGAAGTCTAGCGAGGTTCGCAGAAAGTGAATCATTGTCTTGTGGGGTCCAGTGTGCGTGGCCCAGCCAAGGCAGGAGCTGAACCGCAACTTGAAGCGTCCAATACCTTTCCTTACACTGGCTGTCTCAGACATTAGCGAGTCAAAGCGGGACTTCATTGTTGCACACCATGGAGATTGCAGACCCTTGGCCAGGAAGAGAGGCCAGGCGATATCAGATAGCAAAAGCATATACATATCACATCACTTCAGAATATCACGATATGATATGATATGATATGAAATGAAATGACCCTCCTATATAATATAAACTTGTACCGTATACTTGACACAGTGACATGCAATCGCTGATGGGGATCGGATCCTGGTATGTTTTCACTTTAATTCGTTCTGGGAATCATGTGCGGCCAGGATACATGCACGGTCTCATTTGCCTCTCTTTGTGTCTGATGTGGCTACACTAGGGTACGTTGGATATACTAGGCCGGAATTGGTTGGACTTTCGAAAGGGTGTGTAGGGCAATCATGTGTCACCACGGTCCACTTGCACTGGACGTGATGGGGCCCCAATTGTGGTTCGCCCAAGGTGATTCTCATTTTCACCCAATGCCATTTGAGGTTGGTGTCAGGGCCATTGCCATAGCATCGTCCATCCTTGTTATTGGAAGCTAACTTGACCACGTCTTCAGTGACATGGACCACGTGATCATGGGCGGCCACTGCCAGTGTTGCTTGCGAGAATGCAGCATCGCGCACAACCACAGGTACAAAGAGGTGAGGGTAGTGGTTGACATGAGGGTTTCCAGCGCTATGGTTGGTCTACAAAAGGTTGGCGACTGTTTGATACCGATAGAATGACCCAAAGTTCAAGGACAAATATGGTAAGTCAAGTTACCGTTGCTTGGTTCAAGGACCCAAGGTCTTCGGTGTCTCAAGTTCGAAGGTATGTGGCTGGAGTTTTGGCTGCGCTGGACATGGGAGCAAGACCGCCACCCAAAAGTGAGGACTATCCGGGAGCCATGCCGACTTCCTTTCCGACCACAGCTGGGATAGGTTTTGCGGGAGCGTGGAACAGTTGCCGCTTCCGGAACGGTCCAGAACTATCCAGAACCATTTCTTAGCTGAAAAGTCTACCATTTTCGGCCGGAACTATATTTTTTTTGGGGAAAAACATGCCGGAACTATTTCCATTTGATTCAAAAAATGGCCGGAACTATTTCATTTTCCCAAACATTTTTCTTCCCGCTGCCCGTCTATTCTGCCATGTCCCCGAATGGCAGGACGGGCAAAGAACCGAGAAGTCCCGGGCAGCTGACAGGGCTGAAATGAGGTGCCTGAAGGTCGAGCATAACAAGTAATTACACAGAGATCCCAAAGGTTTTGGAGCACCTCAACAAGAGGCAGACCAAGTTTCTGAACAGTGCCTATGCATCCTTGATGGAACCTCGCCTAGAGTTGGGCTAGCATGGGCTAGTGAATTGGCTCAGCATGGTTTCAGCCTGCAATCGTACGGACGTATGGACCGTATGGACCAGGACTTTCGTTGCGAGTACCATTTCCATCCTTATGATTTTTGGGAACAGAAAGATACAAGGTAGCTCGTGGTGGCCTTAAGCACGCCCATAAGGTGTAGCTCTTGAGGATACACTGCATAACCTCCCCTGCTAGGTTCAAGACATGTTGCGTTATCTTCAGATTATTCATGTACGTTCTATCAATAGTTGAACATATGTAACATATGTTCTAACTTAAGTTACCACATCTTTAAAAATGCTTCGAAAATTAACAACATAAGAAATAGATCTGGACCGTCCAGAACTATTTCAAATATATTTTGAGAAATAGTACTGAACCGTCCAGAACCGTCCAGAACTATTCCTGAGCTAAAACCCAAATAGTTCTGGATAGTTCTGGATAGTTCCGGTGTTAGAAATAGTTCTGAACCGTTCTGAACCGTCCAGAACTATTTCTAATATATCTTTTATAAATAGTACTGAACCGTTCTGAACCGTCCAGAACTATTCTTGAACTATTCTAAGGAATAGTTCTGAACCGTCCAGAACTATTTCTAAAGAGCCATATTATATCATGTTTTTGAACATATATCATATTTTAGCATACTTAGTTTACAAACATGATACGCTGCCTGATGTTATTTCAAACTTATATAATATAACTTTTCTTGTTTAAAACAATACTATCTACTTATTCCCCCTTTCTCAACTTCAAACTTGTAACTTGCATCTTTAAGCTAGCACTCCATGCATTTCCCATGTGTCTTTTGGAATCCTGCATCGCGACCGACACTCAATTTTACCATGCTTGTTTTGCTTACATTTAACTTTCACACACTGATACGTACACTAACACGTGACACGTGTATAAATAGCGGAAGTGTGATAGTAAGCACGCCGCTTGTAGCATACAAATTTCCAAGGAAGAGAGCCAAGGAGCCAGAGGTGGAGAATGATGATGACAACGATGATTATGACGCGCAGCAGCCAGCAAAAAAGAAGAGAACCAGCAAAAGCAACAAGGGCAAGAAGAGAAAGCAGTCCTGAGATCACTTGAGTAGGGTCGGAAAGGATCAAAGGTTGTGTTTTGCGAGAGTTGCTAAGACTAACTCAGAGTTGCGGCTGGCGGACTATATGTGATTTGGCCAGGATTGGGCATAGGGCTCTTTCGGCTTGAGTTGTAGCCCCAAATTTTATATAGTCAGTTGTTTATTGGTTGTTCGACTTTTGACACACTGAGGAAAAATAATGAGTAATGATGAGCTTCTGGTTTCAACATTCCCTCTTGGAAGAGCCATGCCTTCCAGCCAACATGGCGGTATCTGCCCGAAAAACTCTCAATCCCTTTTCAAGAGCCCGAGTGCAGCCTGGCATTTCTAGAACATGTTCAAATCCGTCAAAACCCGCCTTTTTGATGTGTAGCAACCCTTTCAACTTGATCTTTGGGTAAGTGGTACTTATGTCCCTATCAATGAATACGTAACTGGTGCTTTCATGCCGGACATGCTGGACATTTGAAATGTCCAGCTCGGGTGGGGAAACTCAAGAGCGAGTGGCTATGGCCACTGTTTGAACAGAAAGGACTCTGAAACTTGGGGAAACAAAAAGCTTGTGCTGAGGGCTTGCTGGTTTTGTCTTGGCAACAAGGTGCCACACAGCACCTTCAGCCTTCAAATGCCTTTGGTTCTACGGGCTCGGGGGTTTCAAAGCCAAATGAATGCACACAAAGACGACGGGAGGAGGACCCCGCCCAAAAAAAAACTCAACTGTTGGAATGGGAAATCTCCTAAGCTATGTTTAGAGATGACCAAATGATGGGGAAGAAAACAAGATTTCCAATTTCCAACAGTTGAGATTTGTGAATGGTTGTGTTGCTTCCCTGTCTTTGAGGACTTGGGCGAATCTACCACTTCTATTCTTTCCATATAGGTTTTGTTTCGGGTCCAGCAACAAGGATAGTATGCATTAATACCCTTGGTTTCCAGCCTTTGGCAAAATGCTAGTTGCAAAATCACAACAGGACTTTATTCAATTCTTCCTTTTTGATATTGGGTATTCACTGACAAACAAAGAGTTGAGGGCAGCTTTCAGAATGTATTCGAATGATGACGCTGATGCTGGCAGCTGGGCTTAATATTTAAGGGTGGTTCCCCTGAAAAATATCAGAATTTTCGGTTCTGGGCGAAAGTGAAGTCATATGTCATATAGCCCCCTCCATGTCTTAATGAGTTTCAACATAATCCCCGTGGAATTTTGTGTGTTTTTTCATATAGTTCCAAGGGATTTTGTTTGATTTTGCAAATAGTTCCACAGGTGTTTTATTGTGTTTTTTGTATTCCTCATATAGTTCCTGATGATTTTTAAAGGGTTTTTATCACATAGTAATATAGTTCTTGACAGTCCCATAGGTATTTTATGTGGAGTCCATATAGTTCTACATACCCTTGAGCTGCTCACCATGAAAGAGGCCAAGAAAGGTCCCAATATATATATATATATATATTATATATATATATGGGTTTGTCTAAAAATAGTGTACCCCCAAAATCCATGGGATTATAACAATTTTCCCCATTAAAACAGCATGTCCCCGCACCTCAGGCCACTGGGGCCAGCAGCTGGGACTGCAAGCGTTCCAGGCGCGTCGAGACCGAGTTGTCCAACACCGCCTGGCGTGCGCCGAGGTGCCGCGGATGGGGGAAATGCCATGGGAAATGCCATGGAAATGGTGATTTCATGGGAAAAAATATAGGAAAACTATAGGAACATGGTGATTTCATGGTGATTTTATGGTGTTCTTGCTGTTCATATATATAGCATATCACATGATATCTGCATCAAGTGGTTGGTTTCATCCCCATTTTGAAGGCTTAAATCCACCCGCCCTTTCGCGGTCCTCTCCCATCTTCACCACAAGGCCTCCCAACCTCGGCGGAAATATCCATTAAACCTTGACTATAGATGTCATCCATTGACATTAAGATCCATTAACATCCATTAACATCTATTATATGGTTCTATCTATCCATTATATCTGGGTAAACTATGATATTTCACTAACATGAAAATTATGGTCCCCAATGGGGATGATTCCCAACGTATAAACCATGATCTATGGTGACGGCACGATATGAGGTCACGATAATTTATCCAGATGATTATTATGATGGCATTCTATGAAGATTGTAATGCAGTCACCATGGCACCATAGGTAGGTTTCTCAGTATACAATCCGAATTCCACATCCGAATTATATATATATATGTATCATATAATATACTATGAACATATATCCATTATAATCCATGATCATTATGATGACATTTGTGATGGCATTCTATGATCATTATGATGGCATTACCATAGGATTTTCAGGTTCCAAATCTCGAGACAGGAGGATTTGTTGCCAAGCTCAGCTTCAGACAATGCAGGGTTGGTGTTATATTCCATGATCAGTTCGGAACCTTCAGAGCGGCATCTGAAGAAAACGACATCACAAGCGCAACTGGTTAGTGGTTTCAAACCATCTTGAAAAATATGAGTTCGTCAATGGCAAGGATGACATCCCATATATGAAATGGAACATAATCCAGTCATGTTTGAACCCACCAACCAGGCACAGGCGCAACGCAAGGGGTGGAACACACACCTGAAACACGCACATTTTTCAGCTGAAAGATCTGAACCCCCAGACCTCCCCAATCTCTGAAGACATCTCTACAGGATGGGGCCCCCAGCGATAGCGTTCAGTTGCCGAAAAAAAGAGCTTGAATTAACTATGGTTTTAATGGTAGATATAACGAACTACAGTAGTTTTCATGGATTTATTCATGGGGTGAATCTAAACTAACAAACACTTTTCTGGTGGTTTTATAAACTAAAAAATGGGCTTTATTAACATAACTGGGTTTTCCCCATCCTGTAGAGATGTCGATTTGCACAGCATCCAGCATACCTTGAGCTCGCTGTTGCATGGCAGCCTTCACCTGCCAGCTGTCGCGTCGCATCGTGTTTGTCCCAGAGAATGACTCGAAAAGTGTCGAGTTGGGTTGATACAAGGTGGTGCCCCCTAGATAGCTAAGTTGGTTTATAACTCCCATAACTATGGTTTATAGGTGATATATCTATAGTTAATGGGATTATAAACCAACTTATAAGTTGGGGGGCACCACCTTGTATGATATGTAGAGAATCTATAATCATTGGTATCCCATATGGGTATGGGTCAAACTTAGGTACCCCAATAATTGGATGGTGAATACAAAACTAGACATTCACATCTGTGGTGCCATTAATGGTCTTCCATTTTGACCCACATCCATATATAGAGAATGACATGTTTGTGTATGAAGAAATACTGCTTGGTGGTATACCTACCCCTCTGAAAAATATGAGTTCGTCAATGGGAAGGGTGACATCCCATATATGAAATGGAAAATAAAAACATGTTTGAAACCACCAACCAGATATTATAGAACATCTATACCATCCATTAACCATCCATTAACCATCCATTAACCATCCATTAATGTTTGAAACCACCAGAATATTTGGCAGATGTTCCAATTCTCCCATGGTGGCGATGTATCGAAATGTCACAGAGAGATGTTTTTCGATGCTGAAAACATGAATGGGATAGAAATTGTAAACTTAGAAACACACCATAAACTGGTTGGTGGTTTCAACCTACCCCTCTCAAAAATATGACTTATGTGAAAGTCAGTTGGGATTATGAACTTCCCAATATATGGAAAGTCATAAAATTCATGTTCCAAACCACCAACCACAAAGGGGGGCCCCCTAGATAGCTAAGTTGGTTTATAACTCCAATAACTATGGTTTATGGTACTTATAACTATAGTTATTGGGGCTTATAAACCAACTTATAACTGGGGGGCCCCACTTTGCAGGTAGGGTGATCATCCACTGAAATAACTGGGGTGAACAAACATACCTGCATGACCTGGGATGATGTACCCCCATGACTATGGGACTATGGAAACTCCCTTTTTTCCTACGTCGAGTCGATGTTCCAAAGACGTTTAGCCGTGAGGGATCCAAAAAATCACCGGAATCGACAGCCGGACACTTAAAAAGGATCACCCAGCACAGTGGAGTGTATCGTATATATATATATACACATATAATTATATATAGATTATGAATTTTCAAAGTAGGTGTGAATTTGGATGCTTGGAACGGGGTACGATTGGAGGGTACGGTTTTGAGGTCATGGTGCGGTACGATGGTACGGTTTTGGGGTCATGGTACGGTGCAGTGGTACGGATCAGTGGTACGGTTTTGGGGTCATGGCACGATATAATGATAAAATATGATTATGATAAGTTTTTTAAATACATAGTGCGATATGATGGTACTGCATTGGGGTATGATATGATACGGTGATATATTATTGAAATCATTGAGATGTAGAAGGTGGTGTATACCACGGCAGAACTTGATGATTGTAGACTTTTAACTGAACATGATCATCAACCATAGACACCTTATTGTCATTGCTGAAATAGTAGTTCTTGCTCTAAACCCTAAAAACCGAATCTGTGTCCGGCGGAGGAAACTACTAGACTCACATAAATAAGCGCTGTAAATCATTTTTATGTTGTGAAGATTTCAGGATACGACAGCACATCTCGCCAGAATATCATGTATCTTATCTTATTTAGATTCACTGGTTTTGCTCAATGGGCTACGCTGATGGCCTTTGAGGCCTGTGTAGAAACTCACACAAACAATGACAAGAAAACCGCATGCTTTAGTGCAAATCAACATCAACAAACAACAGAACCAAAAAGCAAACCCAACACCAACGTACACAAACAAAAAACTAACCCAATAAGGGCTAACCCAATAAAAACTAACCCCAAGCACCAATCGAACATAAAACTACCAAGGCAACAGCAAAACACCAGAACAACAACAGGAAAATGGAGAACATGGATGACACTGAAAACCGAATATAATACTCTACAAGTTTGATCAAGTTGATTGCAGTGGATGGAAAAACATCCTGCACCAGTTGATAGCTGTTTTATCCCATTATTTACAGGGTTTCCACCATCCAAGCTGGTGCAGGATTTCTTACCTTCATTGTTGGGAAGCATGCGAAACAAATAAATGACATGAAAGGAAATAAAAGAACACTAAACGAAATCAAATGAAATGAAACGAATTGAACATGACAAAAACTGACGCACGCCATCAAAAGCACAGCAAGTGGCATGCATGGGACGGCATGCATGGCACCAGGATTCTAAACAGTCTGTGCGATTAGCAATTTGTTGTGTAGCTCTTGCATATTGGAAATTCTCGAGTATTTAGTTTCACATATTATATTCGGAGTTTGGAATTGCAATTTCTGGTTAAATGACACACAAGTGACCACATCAACGAACTCACAAGCAGACCCACGATTCGACAAGAAAAATGCAGCAAATGCACTCACACGCAAGCAAGGACCATACAGGGGCCCATAGAGGACATGGATTTGTTACTGTAGCCAGACGTACATGGACGCAGCTCACCCGGGCCATACAAACCAGGTCGTGGTTTGTGACAAGTTTTGTATCTTGTATGTCAGTAATATTCACAACTACACAAAAGTAGAAAAAGCAAACAAACGCGCAAGCAAACTCAAGTAGAAATGCAAAACAAATGACAAACAAACACAAACAAAAAAAACAACTGATGTGGCCCCTTTGCGTTTGTGGTCGCGGATCCAATCTGCTTTAGCTCTGAAAACCAAAAGAAAACACAATGATAAACATGATAAACTCATTTTGTTTGAGGGATCAAAGGCATTTGTTTAGGGCTACTGATTTCCACCTTGGGCATACTGTATACTAGAAAAAGTAGTAGTGTGCGCGTCCGCATAAGTTACACGAAACGGCATGGGGCCCAACATTTACCAATCCAGAAGTCATCTTTGATCATGACCCCGTGACCTATCGAAAATATTTTATTTCAAGTGGTGAGCCACCAGGGCCACTACCACTACCATCACATACTACAGTGTCAAAACCCCTCACACACACAGCCTTAGACGATTCAGTCCGCTTGTCGACGCAATCTCCCCTCATGAACTTGAAGTCTGAATGCTTTTTGTGTACAGTCTAGATGCCTATATAGCACCAGTATCACATACATGCGTCCCTGCATGAAGAAATGCGCTAATATATACTAATATCATGTATTTAATATATGTGTCCAACAAAAAATAACATACAGTGCCTTGCATCTAGAGTGTGTCTCAATATTAACAGTCTACTGTACCCTTTTGTGCTGCATACATCTGCACACTTCATTTGGCTGAGCTGTTATCCATGTGTGTTCTCACACAATCCCTAGATTGCTCACTTTGCCCCCCGCTTTGCATTTGATGTGCTTCACTTGCGTTTCATGTGTTGCTATTCCATATATTGATATATATATATATTGATATATATATATTGATATATATTGATATATATTGATATATATTGATATATATATATATATGTATGTATGTATAGTTGTATGTGTGTGTGTGCGTTCGTGTCCTTATTGCTCTTTATTGAGTGAATTTCTGCGCCAGGCATTTGCCTTGCGTCTGAAACATGTTAATACATACGAGGCTTTGTGTTGTTTTGCGTTTGGGTACCTGATGGTACCTGCATATTCCCAGTCTTGTGAACTACACCATAGTAAAGGTGTTGAATGCTCAAACACATCCTAAGCATCAATGCCGCTCCATGCTAACTGCGCTATATCTGTCCCCAACAATTCGACCCGACTATACCCCGAAACCGTACCACCGTACCCTACCATTGTACCAAACCGCACCCCAAAACCATACGACCGTACCACACCATACCACAAAACCTTACCACTGTAGCACACCGTATCCCAAAGCTGTACCTCAAAACTTTATAAGTTGGTATCCTTTCGTGGGGTCGGGACTGTGCGAGTGTACCCCAAAACCGTAACCCGAAAACCGTACCCGAAAACCGTACCCCAGAACCGTACCCCGTACCCGTACCCAAATAAGGACATATATCGATATACCTTTTTGAGTGTACCAATACTAACTTAGTATTGGTACACTCAAAAAGGTATATCGATATATGTCCTTATTTGGGTACGGTTTTTCAGGGTACGGTTTTCGGGGTACGGTTTTGGGGTACGGTTTTTCAGGGTACGGTTTTCGGGGTACGGTTTTGGGGTACGGTTTTGGGGTACGGTTTTCGGGGTACGGTTTTGGAGTACGGTTTTAGGGTACGGTACGGTACAGTGGTACGGTAGGGTGCTTAGTATTGGTACACTCCCGACCCTACGAAAAAATACATCCTTTTTCTGGTATATACAGTAAGTGAGACTGTTTTGGGGTATGGTTTTGGGGCGCGGTACGGTAGAGTGGTAAGGTATACGTTGGTACGGTTTTGGGGTACTGTACAGTACAGGCGTACAGTGGTATAGTTTGGAGTTGTTCAACTCCGATCCAAACTTTGCGAATATCGATTGAAAATATTGAAACCACACATCACGTGAATTTGTCTGATGCACTCAAGTGACTTGTGTCCGACCTAGCGCAGTTTCCGTGGTACAATTTTTGGGTACAGATCCAGGTCAGTTATAGAGCGAATATATGCGATTATGATTTATGGAATTGCGGTTGCAAATCTCTAGAAAGGCCACACATCGGAATTTGAATTTTCACGTGCAACATGCGTAAAAAAAACATCAAAAGGCTGTATATATGAATCACAGTAAATCACAGCTTAAAACCCATTCAAACTACATTTGTTCATGAATGTGTGCTTCCAAAACCACATTGAAGAAAAGCAATATTCTGAGACAACTCTTCTGGCCACCCACAACGATCGAAATAGGAGAAACACTTTGAAACAAAAAACAATTTTCTGAGACTCTCTGCTGGCCACCCCCTGCCCCTCCCAATAGCAAGACTTCTTGGAACGCGCTTTCGGTTTGACTTTTTTCAGCAAACCTCGAGACTTTTGGGAATGTTGTTTTTTGTCTTGATCTCCTAGAACCCCAATCTCAGGATTTCTGGAACAGCGTGTTTCTGGATGTTTCTGGTATATTTAATGTCTTGTTGAAACCAAGACTCAATCAAGACTCCTGCAAAACCTTTCGCATTATTTGTTTGATATTCTTTGTCTTCTGCAGGGGAGCCAAGACTTCCGGAAAACTAGTCTTAAAAGCAAAAAACACTTTTCAGCTGCAATAACTATTTGTACTTTTTTGAAAGGAATGCTGGTTGTTTACGAGTTTGCATTGTCAGAAACACACCACTTTCTGACAGGAATACTGTAATGGTTTGTAGCGCAATTTCACTGCTTGAAAAGAACACCGAACTTGAAGAGCGCTACCCTTTCAAAAGGATTTGTCAAAGAAATACTTTTTTAAGCATTGCAGTTGTCGACAGAATAGCATACTGTATGTCAAAAGGAATTCCATGTTTTTTTGCAGGGAATACTTGATATTTTGAACAAGTACTATTTCTTTGAAAAACATCGCATCTCTCAAATGAAAACTGTGTGTCTCAGACACTGCACATCTTTAACTGACAGCGGTATCTTTCAAAGGAATACTTCAAATACAAACAGAAAATCTGCTGAATGTTGCCTGAATTTTTGAATTTAACATTGCATTGGTTCAATCCATGTTTCATATTTGGCCGATGTGTTTTGTACATAAAGTACTGCCCTGGAGGAATATTGCACCCATTGAAGAAAGATGCATGTTTTGGATGGACATCTTTTATATAAACTTGCATTATTGCACAGAAATCTACATATTTCCTCAGGTATTTACCTTTGAAAAGAACCGGCCTTGTTTATAAACAATTGCATACCCTTTTGAAAGAACATTGCGCATGTGGAAACGGAACAGTTATTTTCTTGAAGGAAGACTTCTTCTTTGAGAGAAATGATCACTGAGCGCTGTTTCTGGAATACTGAGTATATACTGAGTATGCCTATCTTATTTGGGCATATCTATATAACATGTAAATTTGTATAGTCAAAAAGGAATGATCAGTTGAACTCCCTTATCAAAACCAAGAATTATACAATAATCTTACTTCTCTCAAAGGTCAAATACTGCACTTTCTTAAGAGAATACAGGACACTGAACTGTTTGTTGGAGTTGCACACCAATATGCGGGCAAGTGTGACGCCCTCTTATTCTGAGACATGCTCTTTCAAAAAGACTATGCGTTTTACTGTGTGCCCGCAATCCAATGTGCGCAAAACAATTTCCGATCTTTAGAACCTACATTGACATAGACTTAAAGACAAACCATTATAAATCTTAAATCCTCCTCAATGGCAACCCCTTATTTAAGACACCATAAGACATCAATATTACTTTACCCCAGCTCACTCTCTCCTTTACATTGTTTTGGGCACCAGTTTTGACCGGTTTTTGCTTTGGGATGTTTATCTTCCACAAGGTATCGTATCAACATCTCACCACGCCATTACAGTGCACCGCAGAATTCCCTACCAACATTCCGTCGCACCAACATGCCACATCATGCTACATCACCATAGCGTACCAGCATCTTATCTCACCCGCGTGCCTTACCAACACATCGCAAAAACACCGTACCGCACCAGCATCTCATCCCGCAACACAAACGACTCACTGCACCACTGTATCGCACCAATTTACCATACCAACATTCAATCGCACCATGCCACCGTACTGTACCAGATAACACTGAACCACCACCACTGTACCACCTTACCATCATTTGACAGTGCCACTTCCATCGCACCACCGTACCGTACCATCATTTAACCGTACCACTTCCATCGCACCACCGTACCGTACCATCATTTAACCGTACCACTTCCATCGCACCACCGTACCGTACCATCATTTAACCGTACCACTTCCATCGCACCACCGTACCGTACCATCATTTAACCGTACTACTTCCATCGTACCGCCGTACCGTACCATCATTTAACCGAACCACTTCCATCGTACCACCGTCCCGTACCATCATTTAACCGTACCCAGACACTGTATGTACCCTACATTCCATACAGAACAAAAAGTGCATTACACCTACTTTGGCAAATCATAATATATAGATATGATGACAACTATAGTTTGAATAGATAAGAATCATAAGAAATCAACTTATTTATTAGTATAATAACAATAATAATAATAATAAAAGCACACTAATAATAACATATTGTAGATATGATGGTCAATAATGATCCTTTATTCGTTACTTTAGCCACACTGATCAGCCGCTTTCAGTTGAAGCCGTTGGCATGATCCTGAAAAGCCGCTCACAGCAGCGCCATGGTTTTTACATGTCGAAAGGAAATGAACTACCCTGGTATTTATATGGTATTTATATGGTATTTTGATCCATTTTGGGCAATATTGGTTACCGTCTGGTAAACATACCAAACAATGGAACATCACCATTTTTAAAATGGGTAAATCCACTATCAATGGCAATTTTCAATAGCTATGTTAAATTACCAGAGGGTAAATGAAATTGTAGAAAAGCCATGACAGTTCCCTAGAATTTCTGGAAACCGGGGTAGTTCTCAGCTATATATATATACATATATATACATATATATATACATATATATATATACATACATATATATATATTAAAATGATTTCAATGAACATCCAAAGATATCCTCTCGGAAATCCACAATGATGATTGGACAAAATTATTTCAGCTGCTACAAAAAATTAATCATTCAGAAAAAGAACATAACAAACCCATAGGAAATCCATAGAATTGTCATAGAATTTCCATAGAAACTCCACAATACCATCGAAATCCCCTGGAAGTGCAGTTCTAGTTGTAGGTGGATCATATTTCACCATTGTTATTGGGAGGTTTCTTAAAATGGGGGTTACCCCCAGTTCTCATCCATTTATAGCTTGGATTTTCCATGAAATAAAGGCATCCAGCTATTGGGGATACCCCCATTTTCGGAAACCCCCACCATACTTGGTTATCTCATCCCACTTTGCAAATAGGTTGTATCTCTGATTCTAAATGGGATAAGTAGGGTTAATCCACTTATAACTGGGGTGAACTAACCTACTTGCTAAGTGGGATGATGTACCCCACTATGGAAACCCCCATGACTAAGTAGGCTTCGATCTATATCCCTACAGGATGGTGCCCCCCAGTTATATGTTGGTAGAAAAAACCCTATGAATACTATAGTTATCTACAATGTGGTTAAAACAATAATAAAACATCCGGGATGGTATAAACCATTCCCAGTCATGGGTGGCCCATGACATTGTTTAACCACATTATAGTTATCTATAGTTATCGAGAAGACGACATCTGGCCATTACCAGATGAGATCGGCATGCTGCACAGCCGGCTCAAGCACAGGGAAAAACCTTCTCAGAAGGGAAAAAAACCCAGCCGTCCGGAATCGGCAAAACAGAAAAGCAAAACCCGCAACAAGGACGGGGGGAAGAGCTGGACCCCTCAGGGGACGACTGCCCACAAATTGTGTAAGAAAAAGGTGTCATAGCCCACTCACTGACCAGCAGACGACATCATCATCCAGAATGCAGTTGCACAGGCCGATAGCCCCTTAAGGATCCAAGAGGAGCTCAGCCACGGCAGTGTGCACCCCCGGGGCCTGATCCTCAATCAAAGCTCGCCGGCGGCGGATGGCCCGTCCAGTGGCGCGAGACAAGACAACAGAGATCTGCCCCAGCAACCGAGCTTTGACATCGTCGAGGGCGGCTCCTTCCACAAGAGCAACCGCTCCAGACAGACGGTGCAGAAAGGCACGCGTCTCAGGGGTGCAGCCTCCTTGTGCTTCCCACACCAGTGGCAGATACCGCACACCTGCTGCCTCACACAAGGCTTCGGTGCGGTTGTGCTGGCGCTTGCGGCAGGCGTAGGCCTGACAAGCAGAGCCGCCCGCCTGCCGGGTTTCATCCCAATGGTTGTCTCCAAGGGCGTTCACCACGGCAATGTCCAGGGCGAGGCATGGAGTGCTCAAAGGCACCGCGCCGTCTGGCAAGCGTGGAACTAAATGCGTGGCCGCTCGGACCAACACATCGGCAGGCCACCGGCGGCCGCTCTGCAAGAGGCCAGGTGCTTCCAGAACTGGCCGCACCTGGGCTCTGTTGCAATAATCGTAGAGAAGGTCCCGAATCCCGTTGTGGAGGACAACATGGTCACCACCAGCCATGCAACTCAAGGCATGGCGTCCCTTGCAGTCCGCTGGCTTCCCGCAGAAGCGGCAGGGCCCTCCTCCACACACATCGACTCCCAGCCGGCAACCTATTCTATAGTTATCTCTACCATAACTGGTTTGTGGCTTCAACCCCTCTGAAAATATCAGTCACCTGGGATCATTATTCCCAACTGAATGGAACCATAAAAATCCATGTTCCAAAGCACCAACCAGAAATAATAATCACTAGTTGATAACTATGGTTGATTTAGAAACCATACCAAGACAACACAGTACATCAACCAATGTTACCTATAGTTCTATCTACCAGAAAAACCATACAAAGTGGGGCCCCAAACGTTATAAGTTGGTTAAGAAGTTAGCCCCAATAACTAGTTCGTGATAAGTGCGTACCATAAACCAGTTCGTGACATTGGAGTTATAAACGCCCAACTGAACGCTATCATGAAAATCAGCTATAAATAGCTCTAAATCCCATGAAATCACCATTTTCCCATGGTTTTCCCATGGTTTTCCTATGGTTTTCCTATGGTTTTTCCCATGAAATCAAACCATAGGAAGCCCCCCATCGTTGAAAAGCCTGTCCCTGTTGGGCCGAGGTCAATGGCGCAGCCGAGGTCACCTGGATTTTCGGAGGTCACCATGGAAAAAAAAAGGATATATGGTTTTATATGGTTTTATATGGTTTTATGTGGTTTTATATGGTTTTATATGGTTTTATATGGTTTTATGTGGTTTTATATGGTTTTATATATGGTTTAATATGCATAATAATGGGATAATGATGGGATAATAATGGGATAACAATGGGATAATAATGGGATAACTGGGATAACAATACTGGTTGGTGGTATACATCTGGTTAATGGTGATTAATGGTGGTTAATGATGGGAAATGATGGTTGATGATGGGAAATGATGATTAATTATCTGGTTGGTGGTTGAGCCCTACACCCCTGAAAAAATGAGGGAGTTCGTCAGATTGGATCATCATCCCCAATCTGCTTGGGGAAAATAATCCACTCATGTTCCAGTCACCACCAAGCAGTAGGGGTTTTCGGATGGGTTTTTAAGCAACAAACATGAGAACCTCAAGGATCATTTGCAGAGGAATTTTGAGGGATTTTTGGAGGATTTGACCAACAAATAGCAGGCTCTTCAGCATGAAAAAATAGGGACTTGACCATGAAAAAACTACTTCGATGGGCCATGGAGTTAGTTAACTAGTTAGTAAATGGCTTATAATTGTTTTTTTTTGGGGGTAAACAAACCCCAGTTACTAACCAGGAATCGCTAATCCTATGGCCCATCTAAGTAGGGATGTCATTGATCCGACCATCGAATGGATCTACCCGGCCTGGTAGTGACTATATAACAGTTTGCGAACTTGAACATGGCCATTTAGACATCGTGGATTTACCCAGCTACATAGCATGGTGGATCTTTCCAGAGTTTTTGGTATGTTTACCAGAGGCCAAGATGATCTAATTGTCAGATCTTGTCAGGTATTTGGGACCTATAGGTTCCAAGAAAGCTAGATATATCATGATATATCATGATATATCTATTACCTATTCATAATATTCATATCCCACATGGTTGGTTTGATTATTGATATTGGGCTCTGATTTACCCGGCTTTAATACCACCGGACGCACAGAGACAGGTCAGTACCCCATCGTTGCTACATGGCATGGAAGCTGTGCAGGTTGACCCAGGTTGACGGTTGACCTTCCTCCAGAAATGCGGTTTTGACCCCCAAATCATATGGTCACTGGATTGGTTTTGTTGGGAAAATCTACAGCCGGAAACCCATGGGGTTTTTACCATCAAATATAGGGGTTTCCGGTTAAAATTTTCCCATCATCCAATTCTATGATATGGATGTTAATGGATATTAATGGTGAAAATAAGTCCAGTAGCTATGGTTTATGATACATGTAACTATAGTATTCATGGGGATTGATGAACCATCTTATAACTGGGGGGTTAATAAACCATCAATGGATATTAATGGATGTTAATGGATGTTAATATGGATATAAGTCAATGGATGATATGTCTATAGTCAATGTTAATGGATGATAATGATAGTCAATGGATATTAATGGATAGTAAATTTCTACAATGTGAGGCCCCCCAGTTATAAGTTGGTTAACAAAAGCCCTAGTAACTATAGTTATGTGCGTACCATAAACCAGTTCGTGACATTGGAGTTATTTGCGCCAACTTAGATATCAAACGGGGGCCTCACATTGTAGGTTACTATGGGTTCTAATCCCAACAACCCAGGTAGTATAACCCTCCATAACCAGCAACAGGGGTATTTTTAGTGCCTCGTGGCTCGTGCCACAAGATGGCATATGGTTTATGGACATCCATCCCATAATGAACACCCTTATAATGATCTGGGTAAATTATCATATTTCACTAACCTGAATTGTTGGGCCATAAAAGGGGATCATTTCCCATACTAACTACGATTATAGTGAGGGAGAACAGTGAGGTCGTGCTGAAATTTACGTAGAATGACGTAAGGGTTGATGGTTTCCCATTATGTACGGGTTGATGGCATAGGGTTGATTCTCTAAAAAGATCCCAAGATGGCATTTCTGGGTTTCCCATTTTTTGCTTCGAGTATCCAAATCCGTATACTGGTTGGTGGTTTCAATCCCTCTGAAAAATATTAGTCAGTTGGGATGATTATTCCCAATCTATGGAAAAATAAAAAATGTTTGAAATCACCAACCAGGTATAAACATGGATTGATTCTTCCCCCTGGTATACGAACATCTAAGAACTGCGTATATGATCCAACTTTGGATTATAGTCTGGTTGGTGGTTTCAACCCCTCTGAAAAATATGAAAGTCAGTTGGGAAGGATTGTCCCATATATGATGGAAAATAAAACATGATCCAAACCACCAACCAGTAGTTGATTCGAAATCCCATCGTATTCCTCTTCATATCTTATGACATTCCACTTTCAGCCAACTTGACCATCACACATATGGAGGTTTCCACACTAATAGGGCTATCCCCAGTTCTCATCCATTTATAGATGAAATAAACCATGAAATGAACCATCCAGCGATGGTAAGGGCTACCACCATAACTTCCTATGGAACCGGCCCAAAAAAACGCACCTTGCACAGCACCAGCCCCTTCTCGGCACGGTAGAAGTTCTGAAGAATCCGGAGTGATGATAGGTTTACATAGTGGGTAGAACCCATGGGAAAACCATGGGATAACAATGGGAAAACCCATGGTTGATAGTGATGGTTAATAGTGGTTAATAGTGGTTAATAGTGATTATGAATGTGGGTAAATAGTGATTCATAGATGTTAATAGTGATGATCATCCATGAATAGTGATTTAGAACCAATTTTTGGGTGGTTAATAGATTAATGTGGGTAAACCAATGCCATAAACCAGCCATGACTGGGAATGGTAAACATACCACCTATAATTTTATGGTGATGACTGGGGGATGGTTTATGGCATTGTTTTAACCACATTATGGGAATATAATAGCCATTACCCATGGATATTGATGATATTATATGATCTTAACTATATAATATCCATATCATGATCATATTCACGAAAAAAACATATGGATATGATCTTATCAAACATTGAATCCCCCGATGGAAAATAGATATTCCATGAAACAACCTTTTCGATCAGCAAATGACTATAGTGGATGTTCGCAATGAATCTGTTGTACCAATTATAGGTATTACGTGGTTATCAACAGAAAAGATTCAACATCTACCCACACATAAATCCAGTCAAGGGGGAATTACCGGGAAAGGATGGCCTAGAAATTAACTGGTTGGACTGGTTTCAACCCCTCTGAAAAATATGAGTTCGTCAATGGGTTTCGGATGACATCCCACAGATGAAATGGAAAATAATCCATTCATGTTCCAGTCACCACCAAGCAGTTAAAAGTTCGACCCTGCCATATGCAGGGAGTGAGTTTCCAGTAAAAAAAAATGGTGATTTTCAGGGTCTATGTTACCATTGAGTATACCAACTGCTAATGAAAGATGGCAAAGGAACATCCACAACAAAACCACAACAAACCTTGAGGATTTTCCGGTAGACCAACGGAAATTGCTATAGAAAACCCCAACCAAACTTACCATATAAGGGGATTTTACATGATTTTACCCCTTAGCCTTACTATCTTTAAAGTATCATTTCCGCAAGTGGTATAGGTTTTCCCTGAAAATTCCCTGAAGCGGAATGCTGTCGGATCGTCTCGTGCACCGTTGATGCATCCAGGAAATCCAGGCCCAGACAAAATCAAGCATTTATAATGGGATAACTATTCATATGATGGGTACATATCATTGACTCATTGATATTTCATGGGATCTACAATAACATTGCTATGACATCATGAAAATATCATTCATATCCAGATATCATATTGTTATGATGAAATATGTGGATAGCTATTTGTAACATAATTCCATCACCTGTTCATCTGGTTGGTGGTTTCAACCCCTCTGAAACATATTAATAAGTTGGGATGATTATTCCCAATATATGGAAAAATAAGATTCATGTTCCAAACCACCAACCAGTCATATTTGTTACACCCCTGTGTTTTTTGATCCAGTCAGTGGATTTGTTTCTCCGAAAAATACCGCCATGGAACAGCGAATGGCGACCGGACCGGACCGGACGGCAATGCATTGAAAAGATTTTGGTATAGAAAAAGACACATACCCTCTGGTAAACATAGAAAAAACTACGGAAAATGACCATTTATAATAAATAATATATACCCATTAAAAGGTGGTGAATTTCCATAGTTATGCTAAATTACCAGAGGGTATTCCAACTTTTGGGCATCTTGCTACTGTGGATGGGCCAGCGAAATCCGGATCACCAGTTGATAGATGGTTTATCCGTTTATCCCATGATTTATAGAGTTTCAGCCATCCTTTTGGTGGTGCAGGATTTCGCAGCCATCCACAGTATCATGATGTTTTTTGCCAACTTATTGGGATCCTTGAACTACCACACAGCCAAAAAGCCGACAGGAAAAAACGGCTGCCATTGCGAAGCCCGTCCTCAAAAATGTCAATCATGCGCGAGAGAAGGTGGGCTCGCTTGTTCTCCACCAAGACCTGTTCGGTGGCCGGATGTGGTATGCTTGAAGCAATCCCTCAAAAATATCGCCATGATCTTCCCGTGATTTTATGTATTTCAAGTGCTCCAGTATTTCAAGTGGTGGTTATGTGTGTTGGTGTAGGGTATAACCCCAGCCATGAATCCTCTCAGAACCAGCATACTGAGAGGGAAGACGAGATTTTATGGAGTGGGGACTCAAGCAACAATGAGGACACAAATGAATAGAACAGATATGGAACCACTGGGGGATAGAAGTCTGAACTTGATGTTGCTAGAAAGCACCCAGTTCCAAGGATTTCTGGTCATCCGAATCACAACAAAAAAAACAAGTGTCGTTTCGACATCTCAACATTTGACGAATTCCTCTTTCACACGATCGTTTCTGTTCAAAAAAGAGCCAATGGATTGATGCAACGATCATAGGCGCACACCCTCTGGTGACTAACAGTTTGCGGCACATCACCATTTTCAATGGGTCATTGTTATAAATGTACCATCTTCCATAGCTATAACTAGAGGGGAAACACCATTTCGATTTTCCCATTGGGAACCAATCCGCGGAATTCTCGTTCCATGGCCAGTCTTAGATATCCGGCAAGAAATTAAATTCTTAGCTGGTGAAAGTAGATATTCCTATTGCAACAAATTTTCAAAGGTTAGTTTCTACCCATCCAGTTGGTTGACCTAGGTTCAGAATTTCACAATCTCCACACACATTTCCCCCCCCTCGGTAGTCATGTCCATGGCTGAAAATTTCGCTGGCTGTACTTCGATGGTTGATTTCCCGGCCCGCCACGTTTGATAGGCTGTAAACCATTATTCATATACCACACATCCACACAATGTTTCCTGACATGAAATACCATCATTACTGTTTTTCGTGGGTGAAACCCAAGATTTTCTTGGAACACATCAATATTTACGCTTGTTCTACTATTCAAATCTTCATTTTTCTTGGATTTTTCACTTCTCTCCCCATTCTTCCGTGGTTTTTCCATGAAATCTCCCCAGTCTTCCATCGTTTTTCCAGGATTTTCCCCATGTTTTCCCATCTAAAGCGGTGAAAGTCCACCGGGGTGAACGGCTCGGCTCGGCGAACTCACGCACCGGCGCCTTGAGGAAATTCACCACGGCTCCATCCATCCCGGCTTTGCTGCAGATCGCTTCGAAGGCGGCCACCTGGGTTTTTCTCGCATGGGAGAGAAAAACACCGAAAAAAAAATAGTATGTATATATATATGTATGAATGGGATTATTATTGATAGTTATTGATAGTATATATTAGATAGTGTACCATGAAAGATATTATTAGTACATTACACTAGATATTATTAGATAGTTATTGATAGTATATATATATATATTATATTATATATATACATGTATGAATAGTACATGTTAAACTTACTGGTGCTAAACGTAGGGAACTGGTACTATATATATATAACAGCATGTATAGTGTAGTGTATGTATAGTGTCTGTGTAGTGTCTGTATAGTGTCTGTATAGTGTATGTATAGTGTATTTATAGTGTATATATATAGATCTACATGTATATGTATAATGTATCTGTGATATGTGGAATATCAGCCATTTTGCAGTTGTGGATTTTAGTTTTTCTTCAAATTTATCGATGTATAGCTAGGCGAAAACTCATGAATTCTGGTGCTTGGAAGATCACAGGTCTTTCATCATTCCAGTGACGCGATCAACTTGATCCGCAAATCTCCATGATACCCCATGTCACCCTCATTTGGATGTTTTTTTGGCCAAATCACCCGATTTTTTGGGTGAAATCACCCCTGGTTGGTGGTATACCTACCCCCCTGAAAAAGAACGCAATGATAACAGAACCAAGGCTCTATATATATATAATAATAATATATATAATATACTGGTTGGTGGTTTTAACCATCTGAAAAAAATGATGGAGTGAAAGTCAGTTGGGATGATGACATTCATTCCCAACTGAATGGAAAGTCATAAAAATTCCATGGTTCCAGTCACCGCCAACCAGATCATCATCATATTCCCATTGTTGTTGGTTTATACCCTATTAAAACCACTATTAACCACTATTAACCAACCAACCAGATCATCAGAATGGGTGGCAAACGTGCGTCCCGCCTTGCTGTCTGGCTCGATTCCGGGTGTCTCAATGGCCAGTTTCAACTCCTGACGAGGGATTTTAAGCATCAAACGTGCCAAAAAAGACACGAAACACAGGGGATTAAGATGAAGTAAGGGACTTGTGAGATTCTTCACCCAAGAAAACTGAGAGAATTTTCAGAATCTTGGGGGGAATCTAAACACCACCGTGTCGTTTTTCATCTCGAAGAAAAGTGGGGGGAATCAAGCAGCAACCGCTTCGACTTGTTTGGAAAGTGGCATCAGAAATGGTATGATCTCCTCATTTTCGGGCTTCATACAAAGTGGGGCCCCCGTTCGATAGCTAAGTTGGTGCAAATAACTCCAATGTCACTATGGTTTATGATGGTTTATGGTACTTATAACGAACTAGTTATTGGGGCTTATAAACCAACTTAGCTATCTTGGGGGCCTCAATTTGGTCGCCTTAAGTCGTCAGTTGCGAACTCGGCAAAACAGCGGTGACTTCGCTCCTGTGATTCAGCCATCATGCCCCTGAGTGCGGACAAATCGCCGTAGACCTCCGCTTTAAAGCGCAACGGTGACGTCACCGATGTCTGAAAACAGGTATACTCTCAATGGGATTCAATGGTGATTCAATGGCATTTAATGGGATTTAATGGGATATATGATGGCTTACCCTCTGGTAAACTAACAGTTTGCTATTGAAAATTGCAATTTATAGTGAGTTTTCCCATTAATCTGCAAAATTCACTTTAAATTCAAAACGGTTTCCTCGTCTTAAATCTACTTTTCCCCTCTGATTAAATCTTCAGTCCTCGCCTCGTTACATTCAAAACGGATTTCAGCCCATTTCTTTCTCGACCGCAAGCCATTCGAACTAGTCCTCTGCCTCCTTTTGGGTTGAACTTTTTTGAATTATCTTTGTCGTCGTTGCAGCAACGCTCTGGGCTCCAGAGGCTTGGGGATGCTGAAAAAACTTTTCAGGGCCTAAAAAGTTTTCTCCTGCTTCCGAGATGCCCCTTGTACAAGCGGATTTGCAGGGGCTCGTTTCCCCGCAAATTCGACCCCAGAGAAGAGAAGCTGCAGCAGCAGCACCAAGATACCCCGCCCCTGAGGTTCTTAATGCAGTGGGTTCTTAAACAGTGGTTTCACTGTAGAACAAATACGGAAGTCCTGGAACAACCGGGCATGCCACCACAGGGCACTGACTGAAACTACGATAAAAAAAACTGTTCGGGCTCCAGAAAGTTTTTTTTTCACGGGGTCTGAATGCACCCTTAATTTTCTATTTTTTCACTCTGATGGGAACACAAAAAGCTTTCTGGAGCCCGAAAGTTTTTTTTTTCACTCGTTGCACATGCTTTGAAAGCAATTTCTGCCCACCTCGTTTTCTGAATTTAATTAATTCACCTCGCTTAAATTGCAAAGATTCACCTCGTACCTCGTCAGCCCTCGCTCTAAATTATGCAGATTAATAGCATGGTGATTTTCCATAGTTATGTAACAGTTTACCAGAGGGTATGAACGTGATAGCCTATAGCTATGGACAATCATCATCTTTAAAAAACGGCTTTTATCATTCCGAACTTTTTTTTATGGTGCCATCCAAAAAGCAAAGTGTTGAATTATCAGAGGGTACAAATGGATGTTAAATCAACCAATTTTTTCCGTGTTTTTCCACGTTTTCTTGTTGGATTTTCCAGGGTCCAAGGTTTTTGGGCCCAACATTTTCGGGTCTCAGAATGCCTCGGATTCCGCAGCACTCTGCTGGGTTAAAAATATATCCAGTTTGATGGTTTATGCATATGGCTCATAAGCAAAAAATACCCACATTACTTGGATTATATATAACATGGTAATGGATAACTATAGTTACTATCAGTGTTATTATATGGTAAATACCACCAGTAACTATAATTATAAGTTGGTTTATAAGCCCCAGTAACTATAGTTATAATATATATATATCTGGAGTAAATTATAATATTTCACTAACATGAATCTTGCGGCCATAAAAGGGGGTCATTTCCCTTATTAACCATGGTTCCAGTGAGGGAGAACAGTGAGGTCGTTATAATTTACCCGGATTATATATACAATGTGAGGCCCCCAAGATAGCTAAGTTGGTTTATAAGTCCAATAACTATGGTTTATGGTACTTATAACGAACTAGTTACTGGGGCTTATAAACCAACTTAGATATCTTGGGGGCCTCACATTGTATGGACTTTCTATGGCTTCTATGTTTATATAATGGAACATCCCGAATCACCACGGATCCAAACTAAGCTCCGTCTGGAAAATTTCAGGGCCAAGAAGGTCAAGCCCGGGGGTGTTTTTTATGAGGGGTCCGTCTTTTAAGGTCGAAAAATAACATGTATTTTATATTAAGATTTTAATCAAAGATTAGGGGAAAGCTTCGAAATCAAATTTTGGGCAATATTTTGAATTGTATTTTAGAAGGAAATCTAATCGATTTTGAAATAGAACACAATAGTTTTTTATATTAGGGTTTTAAAATTACTATTAGGGGAAAGCTTCGATATCCAATTTTGGGCAATATTTTACTTAGATTTTCAAATGAAATCTAATCGATTTTGAAATAGAACGAAATAGTTTTCAACATTAGAGTTTTAAATTTACTATTAGGGGGAAGCTTCGAAATCAAGTTTTTGGTAATATTTTAATTGGATTTTAAAAGGAAATCTAATCGATTTTGAAATAGGAAAAACAAGTTTTTTATACTGGGGTTTTGAATTTAGTATTAGGGGGAATCCTAATAATAAATACTCCTTAATCATAAAAAAGATCCTGAGGTATTTATTATTTGGGGGGGGCCCGGGGTTTAGTATCAGGGGGAGAGGATTATTCTAGGGATTACCCTTTGGCAAACATACACAAAACTATGGAAAATCACCATGCTATTAATGGGTAAATCCACCATTTCTTTGGCCATGGCTTCAATAGCTTTTTGTATCTAAAAACCAGAGGGTATATAGATTACCAGAGGGTATATCACCCATGATTTGCCAATTTTAATAGGAACTTCCATGGAATAAACCAAGCATTTGTATGTTTACCAGAGGCTATACCATCATATATCCCATTAAATCCCATTAAATCCCATTGAATCACCATTGAATCCCATTAAATCACCATTAAATCCCATTGAATCACCATTAAATCCCATTAAATCACCATTGAATCACCATTTGGGATTGGCCGCGCCTTGTCCAACTTCTCCTTGGAGGCCATAAAGAGGGCCGTGGCATATCGCCCCTCTAAGGTGCCATCCTCCGACTAAGCGGCGGAGAAGGAAATCCATATGGTAAAAACCATGGTAGGAGTGGGATAACAACAGTATTGAGTATATATACAATAGTGTATATATATATACATACATACACAATTGGGTGTATTATACATATATACACTATTGTGTATGTATGTATATATATACACACTATTGTGTATGCATGTATATATATGTATACACTATTGATTGGATATATATATATATGTATATGTAATACGAGATATGGTTGGTTTCTTTTTTGGTACATCAGCAGTATATCGCCATACAACTAATTGGATCATCACTATTGAAACAACCAAAGTGGTGACGGGGGGTCCCCGTCATGACGTAAGCAACCCCCACTACGGGATATATGAATATATAATCATGAAAAATGGAATATTTTACTGTTCATGGGGTATACATATGATTTCCATTTCCGAAAAAAATAAGATGAAAAAGGTAACCTCCGAAAATTTCCCCAGTGTCACCACAAACTGCCTCCAATTTGGGCTTCGACGCCGCGGCTGCCTTGGCCCAGAAGATCAAGAAAGATGGGGACAAACACCATGATTCCCATGGGGAAAAGATATGGAAATTCCAAGAAAAATGGAGGTTTAATGCTGGAAGAACGGAACATTTACGTTTTTTTTTCCGATTTCACGAAGGGAATCTTCATGGAATATTGGTGAATAGCCTCCGGTTTCATCAAAACATCTGTTGGCTTACGCATCTTGAACATCTGTTTTCTGGTTTCAAATAACATGTTGGATGCTGTAACCTGCATGAAGACTTTTAAGTATTGTTATCGAGTTAAAAACCTTCAAAATATGAACCATTCCTTGGGGACAAAAAATGTATGAATCACAAAATCATGAGACACATGTTGGTGAATTATCTATAAAAAAGTATTACAACATCATTTTTTCACAACAAATCTTTGGGCCCTGCTAAGCACGTTTCTTGTTGTCATGCAACAAAGACTAACGATTTTCCTTTGGGGCTCTCCCGCTTTTGAAAAACCCCAATCTCAGCGCTGAACGGCAAAACTTCGAGACGGCAACACAGCGACAGCGGCCGGACGAATGGCGGGGCGCAGAGATACCTTGACGGTGGCGACCGTGGGCGAAAATGCGATGTAGCCCACATTTAAAAAGGGCAATGGAATAGAGAAGATGATGATTACACAGGGGATTTGGTAGGGCTACCAAATTCGGATCAGTTTTCAAAAGAAAAAAGCATGATCATTTTGGGACAGTACCCCAAGTTGGTTAGTTGTAGTACATATATCGTAAGAATCCTATACTCCAACCGGCCAGCTGTTCAAGAACCATGTAGTTTCATCAATCTAGCAGCTGGAAACTTTGAAAGGAGAGGCTTCTCCAAACATGATGTGTCCAAAACAGTTTTGCACACGCCATCTGAGTGTTCAAAATCCTGTGTCGTGCCTACTTTAAACTGGTTGGGTGAGAATGAGATTCTCTGTTCATGGATTCTAATACCCTCTGGTAATGACTAACGGTTTGCTATGGTATAGATGGCCATTTAGTTCGTTGATTTACATATTCAACAATGGTGATTATAAGGGATATATAGTGATTACCCTCTGGTAAACATAGAAAAAACGATGGAACGATCCACCCATGCTATTAATGGGAAACCTCACTATTTCTATGGCCATCATGGCCATTTTCTATAGCTTTTAGGTATGTTTACTAGACGGTATATAGATTACCAGAGGGTATGTCATCCATGATTTGCAAATTTTAATAGGAATTTCCATGGAATAAACCAACCATTTGTATGTTTACCACAGGCTATACCATCATATATCCCATTAAATTCCATTAAATCCCATTGAATCACCATTTGGGATTGGCCAATAGGGTCGCCATCTCCCTGAACTCAGAAAAACCAGGAATTTTTCGCAGCTCATGTAGGGAAGATCTGTCTTATGACGTCAGGATTGGTCAGGGATTGAAGCTTCGCTTGTTGAATGCTTCAGAAAGGCATCTGGTCAAATCCCACCTTTAAAGTGGTTGCAAGTGGTTGAATTCTATGGTTTATGGTAGATATAACTATAGTTAATTGGGTTTATAATGGTTAGTAAACCAACTTATAACTGGGGGGGGCATCCTGTAATATATTGGGATATAATGGTGATCAATGGTGAATAATAGTGGTTTGATGATGGTTAATGGTAAATAATGGTGAATGGTAGGATGAATAAATGCTAGTTACTTAGATGGGCCATAGGAAAAATGCGATTCCTGTTTAGTAACTGGGGTTATAACCCCCAAAAAATCCCGATTATCATCCATTTAGTGGTTGGTGGTGCAATAACCATCTTGAAAAATATGAAAGTCAATGGGAAGGATATGGACAACATGTTCCAGACCACCAACCAGTCATCATTTTGATTCAACTCCTGTTTTTCTCGAGTCTGTTGCAAGATCTTGACCAATGTCGGGCCATTGCATAAAAATTGGTCCTGTTTTTTTTCTCTTGTTTCGCTATTTTCTCTAATCTCTACATCTTAATCTGAAAATTATCGTCGTTCTTGCGGATCATCCTCCAATATACGGCCAATCGTAGATAGCGTGGCATTGTGTCCCCAAAATGGGAAATGCTGAAAGTATCGAAGCTGTATCAAACTACCGATCGGGTCGGTTTCCACCAGAAACTATCTTCATTAATGCAACTGGTTTTATTCATTTTCGCTACAAGCAAATGCAACTTGACACTGGGCGAAAAAGTTGAGATTCATCCCTTTTCGCACACGACGACCTGTTTTGCTGACTGTTCCAAAGGCGACGCTGAAATCATCATAGGTTTTCCTCGTTGAATCCCCATAACTTCTTCTTGGTGAATTCCTCTCACTGGATTGGTTTTTTCAGGAAGTCTTCACCGGTTTTACCATGTTTTTTTACCATTAAATATCAGGATTTTCCAAGAAAAATCAATGAAGATCTTCATTTTTCTGGGTGAAATCTATGCTGGTTGGTGGTTGAGCCCTACCCCTCTGAAAAATATGAGTTCGTCAGTTGGGATTATTCTTCCCAATATATTGGAAAAAACACATGTTCCAGTCACCACCAAGCAGTATGGGTTGAAATCATCCACAAAAACCACAGCTTGGTCGATCTCAAGGTGCGCTGAAAGTGCGGGCAGCAATGGACCTGATGATGCTGACCAACATGGAAGAAACATCGAGGTTTCCATGAGAAAATCGAGAGAACATTTGGGTAGTCAAAACTCCTAACTCTAGTGGTAGTGGATGTTCATCCAACATATATCAATATAGGTTTTAAATGGTTTTAATACATTCCCATGTAGAACATATCGGAAGCTATCAGCAAACGTCGGTTTAGGGAAATGATGACCTCCCGATGATCGCCTCGCCCCAAAACTGGGCAGACGTGGGAATATCATCATACTATGTGGCTCCGATTTCTTCAGGGTCCATGATTCATGACAATAATGGCGGAAGCATCATGGATACATGAAGGCTAGTCACCTCAATATGGGCTTATAACCGGAGTAATGATGCTTCATGATGGTCAATCACGGTGTACTGATGGTTTTTCCCAACAGTAAATGGGGAAACATGAAGTTGTTTAAAGGTAAATAGCCAATATCAGCCGGTCGATGGGACAAATAACAACTGACAAGCGTTATTAAGCATTTAATGGGACAAACGGCCGTTACCAACCATTGTCAAATACGGTTGGTTTATGGGAATATGATGTCAATACCCAGAATAGATGTTGATGGGAAAAAACAATTCTTAACCATGATTAACCATTGAACCACGGGAACGTATTCGCAGGGATAAAACAGTAACTATACCAAAGAAGCCAGGTACAAACATCCCATCAGACAAGTTTTTGGATAACAATCTATTCAATGGAAATTTCAGGATCCTAAAATGGAGGTACTGTACCATATAAGGCCATATATTCTGGGGATATTCCCTTACATAGGCCTAAAACATAGGCCTTTTTTCTATGGTAGGTACCTCCAATCAATCGGTTCCTGTTGCATGGCCATTGATCTATATTCTTAGGTTAAACCCACTTGAAGACTGAAAAAACCCGACCTCTATCATCCCCACCTGGCAGCTACACGAAGCATCTTAGCCTCAGAGCATGGTAAATCATCCAAAATAGGCGTTATACAAGGTGGTGCCCCATAGTTAGCTAAGTTGGTGAACATAACTCCAATAACTATGGTTTATTGTACTTATATCTATAGTTAATGGGGTTTACAAACCAACTTATAACTGGGGGGCACCACCTTGTACAAAAAGGAAACCTAGGGGGGAACACCATCTATAGCCTCCCGGAAAAAAACTTTTATCTCTTTTGGGACCCATGTACACAAGAAGGAACTGCAAAGTGGGGATGGTTGTCCCCAATTACATGGGGCGATATTGAATTCGCTGAAATGAAAAAACCTTATGCCCTCTGGTAAACATACAAAAAACTATTGAAAATTGCTATTTATAGTTGATTTACCAATTAAAAATTGTTCTTTCCATAGTTATGTTAGTTTACTAGAGGGTAATTGACATCCCCAGATTGGCTTGAATCATCGAATTGATGGTTGATATGAAAATTGAACACACTATAACTATAGATGCCGAAAAGAAATCAACCGCTCCACCATACACATACCGGCTTTGCTACCATTTTTTCCCATCCAATTCTAAGCAAACTTCTTCTTGGAATTTTGCAAAAAATGGGGGGAGAAAACTCTCTATTGAGGAAAAACCATCGTTTTCTTTTTTTACAAAAGTCAGATTCACAAATGGCCATGGTCAATAAAGCTTTAGCAAATGTTAATGGCCATGGTCAACAAAAACATAATTTTTCTACAAAAGTCAGTCAAACTTTAGCAAATGGCCATGCCGCCAAAAGTGCCAGATGAGCTGAGTTTCCGACGACTCTAAAAAAAGAAACCGATGAAGCGAGGCGTGCCCACAGGCTTGAGCCGTACAGCTGCAGCGTCACACGTACAGAGAATTCAGTTTGTGTTTTTGTTTGCACCTCAAGTGGTTTTTGTTGGTTAGTACATCCCAATGAAAAACAAGGATTTGCGAATGGATTTAACCATGAAACATGGATGTGATACTTGGAAGGCAGAAAAAAATGGACATGAAACTATCCCCCTCAAACTAAGTCCCACCCGTTGGGGGGTGGACGGGTAGTTTTCGGGGAAGCTATTCCAAGCGTTTGGGCAAATTATGTTGAACCGGAACTTGACGTTTGTGGCCATTTGTCTGATGATTAGCCATATACTTGGTTGAATGAAAATAATTATAATCATAACTGGGTCAGAAATCAATGGCCATTTCAGGAACCGATTGATTGGAGGTACCTACCATATATGAGGCCTATATGGGTATGGGTCAAAATTAGGTACCCCAATAATTGGATTGTTAATATTAAACTAGACTAACATCTGTGGTCCCCTAGGTCTTCCATTTTGACCCACATCCATATAAGGGAATATACCCATAAAATATGGCCAAAAATATGGTACTAACGTACCTCCATGAATTGGATCCTGAAATTTCCATTGAAGAAACACGGTCACTACCTACGAGGACCTTGGGATAATCCTCCGGGTTATATCCCAACGGATGGTGTCATTACCATGGTTATACCATGGGTGCCATTAGATGGGATATAGTCATTAGTTGGGATATAACCCAAAACATCTCATTATATAAAAATACGCTAGACGTATTACAACTATTTTTTCCATGATATCCAATTATATATATATATATCCCATGATATTCCGATATATTCCTGGTTGGTGGTTTCAACCCCTCTGAAAAATATTAAGCAGTGGGGATGATGACATTCCCAACTGAATGGAACGTCATAATCCATTCATGTTCCAAACTACCAACCAGATGGTGACTTGGTGATCGACCATTGAAAATGGCCCAGTCGAAAAAGTTGATTTAGCCATTAAAAATGGTGGATCTTTCCATAGCTATGTTAGTTTACCAGAGGGTAATCATAGTTTGATAGCAAATGATTGTACCAAACCATCACTAGTATATGATAGTATGAATCATATACAAATCGTTAGTATATGATAGTATGATTCATTCATTTTTTTAAAGTGTGGTAATATGCCAATATTACAATGCCAATCCCGTGGTGCAGCCGACACCAGGGTGCTCCAACAGCACCAGCGCGCCGTCCCACAAGCGGCCACCGATTCCGAGATCGCCCTGACACTCAGCACCTGGGTCTACCCCAATAGCTGGTTGTTTTTTTTTTGATATGTAAATATGTAAACATATATATATATGTATATATGTGTATATGTAAAAATGAAACATGTATATATGTTTATATGTATATATGTATATAGGTATATATGTATATATGTATAGATGTATATTTGAAAAAAGTAAGTATGTATATATGCATATATGTATATATGTAAATTAAGTATATAAGTATGTATGTATATAAGTATATATGTATCTAAGTATTTATGAATATATGAAAAAAAGTAAATATGTATACATGCAAATATGTATATATGTAAATTAAGTATATAAGTATATAAAAGTAAAAATGTAAATATGTAAGTATGTAAATTTGTATATATGAAAAAAGTATCTATGAAAAAGTATATCTAAGTATAAGACTATACATGAATGGCTTATATATATATACATACACAGTACTATGTCTAAATAACAACATACATACATGCATATTAAATATGTATGTATATATATATACATATCTCAGCAACACCTTATCTACAACTATACAAATAAGCAACAGCCGATCTACATATATGTGAAAAACTTTTCAAGTATCTAGATTCATGAAAGCACATGTATATCTTGAACAGATTATACATACATATATATATATACAATTAATCAATTATATACACACTACATACCCTCTGGTAATTTAACATAGCTATTGAAAATTGCCATTTATAGCTGATTTACCCATTAAAAATGTTGGTTTTCCATAGCTATGTTAGTTTACCAGAGGGTAACACTATCTACCACAATTGCAGATAGCACACACGTATGCATCCAGGACATCCCTAGCAGAATTTCTCGATGACATCCTGAGCCTCGAACACAGCAAGGAGTGCCCCCCTGGGACGTCAATCAGCCGACATTGTTCCAGCGTCAAATGACCAGGGTGTGGAAGATCGATTGCCGCAGCCCCTGGTGTTTCGGCAAAAAAAACAGTGGCAGAAAAACCGCAGGTTTGTGTGTGATTTCTTGGGTTTCGATTTCAGAAAAATCGAAACCTGGGAATGACATTGAAGATGGTGCTGAAACGGAACGCAACATGTAAGCATGTGATTTCCAAAATATGGATGCCCAATGCCGGATCGTTCATAGAAAATGACTAGCATCTGTGCCTTCTTTCGCGGGTCTTGACAGTACAATCGGAAGATGGCAAGGGGTCATACGTTTCTTTTACTCGCCCACAAAAATGATGCTTCCTGCTCAAAACCATCAACTACCTATTGTTGTCTCATATATCACTGGGAATTCCGGGATCCTAAATTGGAGGTACTGTACCATATAAGGCCATATTTTGTGGGGATATTCCCTTACATAGGCCTTATATAGGCCTTATATATGGTAGGTACCTCCAATTTAGGTTCCTGAAATGGCCATTGAATATAGTCTTGAAATGTCCCATACCGAAATCCCGTACAGTTCCAAATTCGCATAACTGTTCATAATGCATATATGCATGCCGTGTATGCAAAATTGCCAATCTTGGATACCCTGCGAACGAAAAAACCATATGTGAGCTGGTGCAATGGTTTCATTTCACCCCAAATACAACTAAGTATACCATTACATGGAGCACAGAAACAGATTCTAGATGTACCCTCTGGTAATTTGTTACATAGCTATTGAAAATGCCCCAGTCGAAATAATTGATTCACTCATTAATAGCATGGTGGATCTTTCCATAAACATTGTTTTTTTTCTTACTGCTGCGTTTGACGTAGGGTTGCTGGATGGGTTGCTGGGGGTTGCTGGGATAGGTTGATTTACCGTTTTTAACAATGGTGATTTTTCTGTGAGTTTACCAGGGGTAAATCTGATGATTTCCATGTCCATAATTTACCAATTTTTCTTTCAAAAAATCGACCCATAATTTACATGTTTAATCCCCATGTTTAATGATAATCCCCCCAAAAATAGGGAGAAAATGGTAGATAATGGTGATCATATCTATCATTAAAATATGGGATTATCACCATTATCTCACCCATTTTCTCCCTATTATAATGGGATTATTATTAAAAATAATTATCTCCATATGATAATCCCATTTTGATCCTCTCAAGTATACCCATTGTACCACCAAGGTTTCTTCGTTTTGGAAATATTTCTCAATTTACGAAACTTATCTGCACCATTTGGAAATGATATGGCTATGGATCAATACCTATTAATACAACTTTTAGGGGGATGAACATCAATTTACCAGCTATTTTGATGTGAACTACAGGGGTACAGGGTTTTGACCCACTGCCATATCTCAATTTTGAACCAATTTTAGATGTTTCTCAAGGTCGGCACTCCAACGTACCTTTCCCTTCCCGTCCCACACCTTGCGACGCGAAGGAACCGCGCAAGGGTGGCGACAGCACCGGCAGCAACGGACGCTGCAAAGTTTCGAAGTCGCTGGCAACTTTGAGGCGCAGCAGAAAGGCTCCGGTCACCTCTGGATGACCGAATTCGACCCAAAGACCTGGGGAAAAAGCCATAGATTTGATGGGAAAATGATGGAAAATGTAGGGAAACTATGGGACAATATTGGGACATATAGAACAACTTCTGATTCTCATGGGAAACTATGGGAAAATATGTGCACATATGTGGAAACAGCGCGGAAAATTCTCGGAAAGTGATAAGTCGCAGCATTGGATAGACACCATCATATCCATCATATCCCCATAAATCCCTATTGATTATATCCCTACAGATCCCATATCCCCATCATATCCCTATGAAAAATCCCTGTGAAAACTCCCCTGGACCAAGCTCCATCGACCAGGCGTCCCTGCTTCTGTAAGCCACAGTCGGACGGCAAAGTTCAACTTACCAGAGGCCTCCATGTCCATCACCCCATCAACCTCCTCAGGTGCCCCCAGTGACGTGAATGTTGCTGAAAGTACAACCCAATTTTTGTATGGATAATATGGATATATCCCCCCAATTCCACCAATTTTTGTTTGGAGCTTTTTTGCACCCATAGTTGTTGGAGTTATTTGCACCAGCTTAGCTATCTAAGGAGAACGGTGTGTGTGTATATATATATATACACCTACCTTTCATGGGATGGGTTCAGTTCAGGATCTTCATAGTGAAATGAAAGGATATCTGGGAAAAACTTGGGAACATGATGGGGAAAATATTGGAACATGATGATGAAGCTGTTTTTGTGGTATCTTTCACGGGATACCCTCTGGAAATCTAACAAAGCGAACTGGAAAACCATCAATTTTGGTAAATCACAAAGAACAATGGGTCAGTTTTCATGGCTATCTTTCATGGGATATACCCTCTGCTATTTAACATAGCCATGGAAAATTGTCCATTTATAGATGGTTTACCCATGAAAAATGGCGATTTTCCACCGTTTTTTGTATGTTTACCAGAAGGTACCATGGGATGATGACATACGCTCAAAACGGTGGATTTCTGTCAGAGCTGTGGATTTCTGAGCATGTTAGGTCAACAGCATGGCATCCACTGGACCATGGGTATAGAGCCCATTTTCCATTGCCAGCCAGATACCCTGCAAAAAATGGACCAAATTCTTTGCTGGTTGGTAGGTAGATATTCCCAGCCAGATACCAAAGATTTTTCAGGTCGGATGAGTTTGTACCCATCCAGCAGATCGATCTAGCAACCAGTATTAATCATTAACCATGATTAACCCATTCAAAATGGGTGATATTACACCCACATATACCATGAAAATACCAACATATTGACCAAAAGATTAAAGGATTAGTTTGTATCCATGTAAGATTGACCTAGTTTCCGTCACAGCCATGTTTGGTTGGTTAGTTGTAACCAACATCAGTTAGTGAACCGGTGCACATCAGTTAGTTATCTAACGGGTAAAACCATTCGGATTCCACCATCAGTGACATTTTTGTGGCGGAACTGCACCAGTATTAGAACCCATAGGATCCATGTATGGTATATATGCTAACATTTGGGGTATATTGATGGTAAATGTTACCATATATAGCATACATGGATCCTATGGGATATTTGCTTGAACTGCGGAGTTTCGAGATGTCTGCTGTTTTCTTGAATGAACAAATAGCATCAATTTGCACTGGCATGTCATGTCTGAGTAGAAAATTCATGCAACGACATCGTAACATACCTGGTTGGTGGTTGACCTACCCCTCTGAAAAATGATGGAGTGAAAGTCAGTTGGGATGATTTTTCATTCCCAACTGAATGGAAAGTCATAATCCATTCATGTTCCAGTCACCACCAACCAGATATCATATACCATCTATACCATATATACCATCCATTAACCCACAATCATCAACCACCAGGTATATTATATATGGGAATATCATATATATACCATCTATACCATCTATACCATATATACCAACCAGGTACTTCTGCCATCTTCTGCTGATACATCTGACATTTCCGGCGAAGCCGCGGGGAGCTTGATGTAATGAGGCGGCCAAAACCAACCCTTGAGGATTTTCCAATTGAGACCTTAGTTTTCATAGGGATTTTCCAATTGGGAAGGGTACCCTCTGGTAAACTAACATAGCTATGGAAAATCACTATTTTTCATGGGAAAATCCACTAGAAATGGTGATTTTCTATAGTTATGTTAAATTACCAGAGGGTAGTTCCATGCAAAATATGAGCAAGTCAGTGCATCCATAGCCGATAAGAAACTTACAAAAACTGAGAATATGGTCAATATTTGTTCTTCTGTTCCCCTTTCAGAGTTCCCCTTTCAGAGCTTCTGTTAGATCTTATCACCCAAAAATATCCATTGATATCCCACCGATATCCCCGAACATATCCATTACCACTATTCCAGCATTTTTTGGATAAATCACAATTTCATGGTAAATCCTAGAAACTATATGTTTAATATGTTTAGTTTCACCATATATTACTGTAATATATTTAAAATATTTCTAGGTTTAATTTCTGTTTCATCCGATTTTTTCATGGTGAACTCACAATTTCTGGTGGCAAAAAACACCATAACTCTGCTGCGTAAAAATCATCTTAAATCCACCCACAACCTTGGTGGTTAATGATGGTTTGATGGGTTAATGATGGTTAATTGATGGGTTTATGATGGGTTCTTCATATTCATCTGGTTGGTGGTATACCTACCCCTCCGAAAAATGATGGATTGAAAGTCAGTTGGGATGATTATTCCATTCCCAACTGAATGGACAGTCATAATCCATTCATGTTCCAAACCACCAACCAGGTATATTATATATGATATTACCATATTAATATTCCCATAGTAAGTTTGTCAATATATCTACCATAATCATCCATAATCCATGTTCCAAAGCACCACCCAGTATGGGTTTTTCATTTTTAATGGCTAAATCCACGAACTAAATCACCATTTTCCAGTTCGCAAACTGTTGATTGACATCACCAGAGGCTGAATCCACCCTGGTTTTCTTTTTGGTTTCGAGCATCCATCCGATGTTCCAACGGCTGCCCCTCCAGACTCAACACCTCCAGGGCCAACGGAACTGCGTTGCTGCAGGGAAACTCGTCGCGTTTCCAGAGACCGAATTCGTTCCTCGGCCGTGGAACCTGGGGAAATCACCAAATGCTGGACTGGTTGGTGGTTGACCTACCCCCAACACCTCAGCTCAAAACCCAGGGCTTTTGGGTACTGTTCAGTGGTAAATTATCATCTTTCACTAACCTAAAACTGGTTGGTGGTTTCAACCTACCCCCCGAAAAATATGAGTTCGCCAGATTGGATCATCATCCCAACTCTTGGGGAAAATAAAATTCATGTTCCAAACCACCATGTTTTCCATGTTTTCGGGCAGCATGCTTGCTCAGGTCGGGAGCGAAGCACTTGTGTCCCAGTTCCCAAATCTAAACCTACAAAGCCATGCGGCTGCACTTTGCAGCTACAGGCAGTGCCGCCAGGCTGCCGGCCGCCCTAGTGCACGGGGCACCCAGGCGGTCGAGCAGCCACAAGTCCACTTCACGAAGTGCTTGGTCGCTCCAAGGAACAGAAATGGAAGGCACGTAGGTTTGAATCGCTGTTGAGTGTGGCCGACACTGCTGAAAAGAGGTGTGAATGCCAGCTTCGGTGACCATGGCTTTCACCAATTGTCTGAACCAGCGCACCCGCTTTCGAAACGGAAACACCTCCGCCGCAATGTACGGCCTCGTGGCCACGTCCACCCAGACATTGTTGATCCGAATGGGTCCTGGGTTTCCCCAGCAAAGTTGAAAGTCCAGGTATAACTGGGCAAAAGATACCCAAACCACTTGTGCATCCTCTCCAGTCGTCAGTCTTGACAGAAACCATTGGACCACCCGTTGAGCATGATCACCGCCAAACAGGCGAGCCAACTTGGGCAGTGGTTGCCCGTTCCATCCTCGCAACGCAAAGCAAGTGCCAAACTGTCGTGTTGGTTTCGGCTCTGGCGCCGGTTCGGTCTCCTCCTGCGGTTGTCCTTGACGCACTTGTCTTTGAGCAACCGCAAGCTGCAAAGCAACAACCTGTTGAAAAATTCCCTCTGCTGCTGTAGACGCAACGACATGGGATTCCCATTGTTGCCAAAACATCTGAGGCCGTGCTTGGTTGGCCAATCTCGCAGCCCTGTCAACCAGACTGTTGTTGTAAAACATCCATAGCTCACGTGGATTCTTTGCACTTTGCCACGCTCGATGCGCTGGAACTTTCCGAACCTGTATGCAGTCGCGCCCAAGGGTCTCCACCGATTGAGCGATCCACACCCAAAGATCAGCATTGGCTCCATGTAAGTTAATTTTCCTACTGCCCCAGAAAGTCAGGTTATACCGGTTGACAACCCCAAGACAGTCAGTCCAAACACAGACAGGAGCACACTGACGGGCGGCCCAATGAAGGATGTAGGCAACAGCAAACAACTCAGCACGGTACGCTGTTTGACAAAGTCCACTCAGGGCAGCAGCACAAAGAACAACAGACGAGCCAGGAGTCCAAGTAGGCGACATGGGACGAGCCAACAGCACAGCCCAGGAGGCAAGGCGAAAACGGACATCGGACTGCCACAGACAGGAACCATCCGTAAAGACATGGTTAAGACTCCCTTTGTCCAGTGCACACTCAGGTGGCGGGGGGTCAGTGGGAATGCTGAGCAGGGAGGTCAACCAGGCTTCATGAGTGGGCGGCTGCAGTGCCCAACCCCGCAAGGCCAAAGCCGGAGGAATGCTCTCTTGGAAGTGCTGAGCCTGGGGGGCATGCAGGTCTCGCAAGTCTTGATGCTGGGGGCACTCCCAGTAGCGGTGCTGGAGAGAATCCCGACTACCACACCACTGACAGTGATCAGTCTGGTCACTCCATTTGGCCTTGTAGGACTCAGTAAAGAGACCACCCGAAAGTCCAAGGCGGTAAAGGGCTTGATCATCGGGCCCAAGCCTACGCAAAGCTTTGCGAGTGGCTGCAAGGTCAACTCGGTGAAGGCCATCAAACTCAGCTCGGTGGGAGACCTTGCTAGCAACGACTTGAGTCCACGCCCACTGGAGCCTCACTTCGATTTCAGCCGGGTTGGAAGTGTGAAGACAGAACGAGCCAAAACGGTCAGACAAGAACCCACGCCAGTCAACAGACAGTCCAACATGCTGCAGCCGATCCAAGACAATGGCAGTCAGGGATGACGGAGGTAAGTCCAAAAGTCCACAAGCGACAGGGGCAAGCAAAGTAGACCCGAAGTCAGAAGAGTAGTGGTCACGAACAGATCGGCAAGTCCAAAGCAAGGCAACATACTGGGGGTCGACACCAGGCTCCACAAGCCCCAAGAGCACATGTGAATTGACGCCAGGTTTCTGCCATCCAAGGGCTTTGACAGCCCGTCTTCGGAGACGTGTCCACACATTGGCCCCAAGAGGCGCACTAGGAACTGCATGAAGGCCCCTAGGCCAGGCAACTGCACGCAACATGAACACCTTTGCATGGTGCCTTGCTCTACTCTGTGCAAGCTTGGGCCAGAAGTCTTCAAGTGCTTCAATCCGTTGCTGGATGGTGCGGTTGGTGTACTGCTTGGACACCCCAAAATGACCTCCAAGTTCACGGGCATGGTGACAGACGGAGATACCACTGTCCCGGAGCTGGCTGCGTACAGCGGCATGGGTGGACCATCCAAAAGTCTTCTTCCTGTCTACCGTCAAGTCCAACATGCCCGCAAAGGATTCAACCAACGAAAGTTGCCGAACCGCAAAGTCAGGATCCCAAGTGTAACACTGCCAGTCATCGACATAGGACAAGGTGGAGATCGATGGTGCCTGAAGACGCATCCAACAGGAGAACATGTGATCGACAAGCAACATCCCAAAGACACTAAGTCCACACCCCTCAGCAAGTCCAGTGCTTGTCGAAAATCCATCTGAGAAAGAGTCACGCACCTTGAAGTGTCGACACATACCTGCCAACGCACCTGCCCAAGCAGTGGTAACCTGATGTGGGGTTCCAGCAAGGATTGCAAGGCAAAGGGCGGGGTACCTGGGAATGCAGTTGAAACATTTCTCCAAGTCAGCTGACACCCCGCACAATGGCGAGTTGGAAGCATAGGCCTGCTCGATCTGCTGCAGAAGGAAGTGCCAAAGGTCGGAAGCTTGACGCCCTCTGCGATTCCCAAACACACCTTCATCAACCCAGTGTTCAGCCCAGGCAAGCAAGTGTCGGGACTGGATGCTGGACCAAACACGGTAAGGCAAACCAAAGACAGTGATTGGCCTGTACTGGCTGGCCGTGGAGGCCGATTCCGTCTTGGCAAGTGAGTGCACCTTGCCAGCTAACAGCTGGGCTGGCCAACTGCCATCACTTTCAGCGCGATGGTACATGCTGACCAAGCTTTGCAACGTACTAGCATCTGCCTGTACCAGATCATCTCTGCTCACACCATCAAGTCCAGTGGCAGAGCGCTTCTTTTTCCGATGGACTTCCGCAGACAAAAGCGAGGCATCAACAGGCAAATGGGGGACAAAGACAGGACGGAACAACCGGCTAGCCAGGGCAACAACTTCATTCCAATGGGTAAACGGCACCTGATCGTGGCGACACCAACGCTGTTGCCATTGCTCATGGAATGCCTGGAAGATGGATCGCAGGTCCCCAATTTCCTGCCGCTGAACTGCACTGTCACTGGGCTGGATGTGGTCAACGTCAGTCAACCACACTTTGTCATGATCAGCATGGATGACATCGCGAGGTTGGCCTGAGATCCACAAAGGCAAAGAGGCATCAACAGTGGCAGGCTGAGTCAAAACAACCGCACACTCATCTGCATCAATTTCCTGGACAGTGGCATGCACTTCATGGATCAGGGTTTCAACAGGGGCAGCAACAGGTCGGGACACATCCCGGAAAACCAGATGCCTGTCATGATCATGCTGGTACTTCCGGTGAGCAGCTTTGGCCTGGGAAAGTCGCTGCTCAAGGAGTCTGACTTCAGCAAGTACCGCATCAAAGATTTGGCTGGCAACCACAAAAGAGGGACAAAACTGGGGGACCTCAACCGGATCAGCAGGACAGACATACCGCCGATGGGGCCACCACGCAGAGAAGCTGGGCGAAAATCCAGAAGCCCGCAAGATGGAATTCCAAAGTCCAATGCCATGTTCAACATTGGCAGTGCCAATCGCAGTCCTATTTTCAGCCCACCGACAAAAGTTCTGCAAACGACGGAGCTGTCGGAACTGTTTGGCATGCACAGAGGAAAATCCAAAGAACGCAGGCTGAACTTCATGAGCACGGCTGGCTTTAAGTGGTGCTTGTGTATGCAGACGGCGTCTGGGCTTGGTTTGTTGACCACGGCCCTGCATAGATGGCACCCAATCATCAGGAAGGGCTTTGGCAGCAAGGCGCTCTTTGGTACACCACAATTCAGCATATTGTGATGTTGGATCACCGGGGGAGTCAAAGGAAACTGGATGCTGCATCTCATCAACTTGACTCCAAGGCACAGGGTGAGGGCAGGGCCAGACAAACCGTTCAACATGGCAAGTGCCGCCAGCAAACCGGGCACACACAACCGCATGGTCAGCAAAAGTGTCATGGCATATGGACAAATCCACAAATGCTCTTGCCAGCTCTGGCGACAAGAACAGGAAGTCCTTGCGAGATACCCCTTTGCAGGTCATACTGACAGCAGCACCAGTGCGCAGGGCAAACAGGTCTTGGGCTTCAACCCAGCCAGCAGCATGCAACTGTGGAACGATATCCAAAACATCAATCGTGTGGTTCCAGTCACCGCACAAGAACTTGGGTCCAGGCAATTGGCTGAGATGGGCAAAGGCAAAATCCAAAATGGCAGAAGTCCTGGCCCTGGCATGATGATGGAGCTTGCCTTCAGGATAGCCGTAGATTACACCACCAGAAACCCATGAAGCTGGGGTATAGAAAGAACCAAACATGACCCTGCCAGTCTCGTACAGGTCAGGAGGCCACGGGATGGCCATCGTCCGGCAAGGGACCGTGGACGTGAAAGCCACACCACCATATTGTCCTGCATCGCTGCTGGTAGAGCGTGGAGTCATGGGTGCTCCTGTCAGAACATGTTTGTACTTGGAACGCATGGATTGGAGGCTACTTGACAGGTGTCTAGTGCCAGCTTTGGTCAAATGGGATTCGCTGATGGCCAAGACATCGGCATGGATCTGGTTCACAATGGCCTGTTTCCCTTGTAATCCGCTAGGATTACAGATCCCAAGCGACCATGGTGTGTCCACATCTGGTCCTGGCACACTGGCTTCCCCAACACGCCACATCAGCATCATCAACAAAAATGTAAAGATAGCCCTGAATGGCTTCAGCAGCATAGGGATCGCCCTCGTTTTGGGCTGCAAACGAGGGTTCCCACCCCTTCATTCGGTCCGGGGTTTCTTTGAAAGGATCGTCTCAATGCGAGACATTTGATCCGAGAGCATATGCTGCATCTGCTTGGACTGGACGTCGAATTGGGCCAACATCTGTTGTTGCAAGGACTGAACCTGCGCGGTGTTTTGGACATGGTGGTCATTGACCGTGGCCTCAAGTTGCCCTTGACGGTTGGACAACTGCTGAACCTGCATCTCCAGAGCCTGCATCCCTTGTTCCTGACAGTCTACCTCCATGGGCTCAGGAGTGGCCTGGATTTTGGCAAGCAAGGTCTGTTCCAACCGCTGTTCCATCTCATGCAAGACATTAGTGGCAGGAGGTGCTGACTGCTGAGGTGGCATTGAGGACACCGCTTTGGACCATGGGTCTTGGATGAGCCATGGATCTGCATTTGTAGGCTCGGCATTGCGGCACATCTGCACAGTTTTGGCCTGCCCGACAATGTCCTGCTGTCCTGTAGTCTGGCTGGGCTGATCATCCTGGCACGTGATGACCACTTGTCCATGTTGCATCGGCAGCACATTGCAAGGTGGATCTACCAGCGCCTGAACTGACCACATCAGGCCACCTGGAACGTGGTGCAAGGGTTGGAGTGGTCGGCTCTCCCATCCACTGCTCTGCAAGATCTTGGCAATGCCCTTTCGATCGGATCCGAAGGGCCACGGGCCGCAGACAAAGGTCCTACGACTGCCAGGAGCAAGGTAAACTGCATCAGGTTTGATGCTGCGAAACACCTGTTGGAAGTGATCTGTGGCAACCCGAAGTCCATACCTTTTACCTGACCTGGCAAGTCCAAGGCAATGCACCTCACATCTGGCTTTGTGGGAGGCCTCAGCAAAGTCCAAGTGAGGAAGCCACACCACCTGAAAGGCGTCGTTGGGTTTCAGTCCATCTTCAGTTTTGGGCTCAACAAAGACTCCATGGGTTCCACTGGCTCCCAGCACCTGCTTTTCCAACTGCTTGGCATAACGGATCATGACAGCAAAGTGAGAAGCTTTGTCCCATTTAACAGGACGTCCGGTGTCTGTCAGGTACTGCCGGCGGAAAACATCCAAAAGTGCTTCATGGGGACATGTTTCTTGTGGATGCCAACCCTGACATGTGCAAGACGAACCCTGGCGACAGGTGTGGAGACAAGGCAGAAATCCAAGGATGTGCTTCACCGGGCGAGTGGAGAAGTCTTCCCAATCCCCTTCCCATTGGTCCTGGTACACAGTGATTCTGGCACAGGCAACCTCGGCAGAGGCAATGGCTGGGGTGTCCTTGGCTCGGTATGGATACACAAGCTTCTGGCCAAGCTGTACAAGGATGCCAGGGAGCAGCATGGGTTCATGATTCATACTACATCTGGCGGCAAAACGGATGCTTGACCATTGCAGGGACGTATGAATCTCAGTGGGAGGATTCACGATCAACAAGGCCAATCCTTGAGTGGTCAAAAGGGTTCCAGCCGTCAAAAACTGCTGAGCCTCATTCAGCGTGGCCAATGCAATGCCTGTGGCAAGTGGTCCTACGGATGCAAGGGGTAATTGCCCAACAGGATCATCATCTCCAGCCCGAAAAGTGGCAGGGGCAATGACCAATTTGGTCGGATCCAGATCTGCAGGTTTGGTCGGTAGCAACTTCTTAGAAGTGCCTGTCGACTTCTTGGGCTTTGCTGGCTGTTTATTGAGGCTCTGTGCATGCAACTCATCCGGCAAAACAAGCTGCAGAGGCGGAGACTGCAGGTTGGCAAGGGCCTTCAACGACTTCCATGGTGCAATGCCATTCAATGCTTTCTGGACTTCTTGTCTGCCGAGTGTTTGAACAACCAACTTGGCTCGCAAAGGGGCTTGGGCTGCAGGAACACCATGGGTTTGCAGAATGGCAGTAGCAAGGTCCGCAACATCAGGCACACCAAAACCCCAGCACCAAGGTTTCGGGACGCTTTCAACATCATGCAAGGCAGCTGCGAAACTACACTTGAGGTCAGTGTGCAAATCCATCAGCTCCTGTTCGGTCTTGGGCAGGTCTTTGGTAAGAAGCTTGGAGGCAAGAAATGCAACCACTGCCGCACCACAACCATCACGACCAAAGGCACGCCGAGTACATGCAACACTGAACATAGGTCGACCCCAGGCACTGCTGATCAAGCCATGCAAAGGACACAAGGAGTCAATGTCAGTATCAACATGTTCCCAAATGGTCACCTGCACTTCCGCAAGTCCAACCGTCCACATGACAGGAATCCAGTGATCATGCAGCAGCACAGCAGACACGAAGCTGGTCAGTGTTGGAAACTGACTGAGCCACAGACGGACCTTTTCAACGTCCCCAGCACGCAACCAACCAAGAGCCAACAAAGGATCCAACAGCTGGATGTCCTCACGTCCTGACAGTTTCAAGCAGGCACGGATGTGCAAAGTCAGTTCATCATCTGCCATTGCTGTTTCTTCATTGGCCAAAATGGCAAGGCGGGCAGAACCAAGGACCATGGATTGACGAAGGACTTGACAGTACGCAACATCAGACACAAGAGGTGGCAACATGGCAGCAAGTTGGACACACGTCACATGCTTAAGTCCAGGCATAGCATCAGGAACTGGACCTGCAAGGGCACGAAAAGGCTCATCAGGGCCCGCAGACCTACGAACCCACACAGAAACAGGCCTAGAAGGTTCATCTGCAATGGCTTCTGCAACGTCCACGGAAAGTTGGGCTTCCAGGCTGGGGTCATGTGTGAAAACTACTGCAGCGCATGGAGACAGGTCTTCTGGCAACACCCGGATGCATCGGCCAGCAATGGGATCATCGGCCTCAAGTGGGACCCTGGTGGTGGCGTCACACCAACTACCTACCAAGTGCTGCTGCGTCAGGGCAATCTCCGCCTGGCAAAGTTCGGCAAAGGTGGTTGTTGAGCCAACTTGAATGTGCACACTGGTACCATCAAGGTGAATCAGTTGAACCCAATTGCTAGCAGGCATGGGGTTGGAAAGTCCAGGGTACATGTCTTTGGAGCATGCAAACAACCGACTTTTGAACTCACTCATCAAAGCTTTGGGACAAACTTCGGGGAGATCCAAATGGTTGTGAATCCTTTGCATGATATTGGCTCCAATCCACAACGATTGCAAAGGAGACGCCAGCTGACCAATGGCACACAAACACAAACGCAGGCTTGGGTGGTCTGCATTGAACCATGCTTGTGGTGGTGGCATGGCATTCATCAAAGCCAATTCACATGGGTGCAGGTGTCGAAACCATGGTGTGCCATCGTCACGTGTCATCTGAATCAACTGAGCATAGATGCCACGCTGTCTGACAAGGGTGTCACTGAAACCTGCAAGCCGGCAGCCGCAAGGGCATTCTGATGCTTGGGATCCCCACGAGTGCAAACATGTCGGAAGCTTTCCATCTGACTGTACAACGTACTTGCGAAGATTGGATCCATCCAAGGTGAACTGATGGGCTTCGCCCTCAGTGAGCAAAAGGTCACGCAGGTCATCTGCAGGCCACTGTCGGATGTATGGCATCACATCTCGAATGCAAAGTCCAGGGCTCTTTGGCCAATCAGGGACAGGCATGGGACCAAGTGAGGGATGGGACGCAACAACCCACCACCTGTATCTTCTGGCCACCCAGTTGTCTTCCAGTTTCAACGATATTTCAGAAAGGTGGTATCCAAGTTGCGATTCCAAGGCTTGCAAAATGGACTTCACGAAACGATTTGACCTGGCCTGGGTGACACATTCGATGATCAACAAAGGGCTTTGACACAGGTAACAGGCTTTGACCGTGGCTGGTAACGTGTTGGACCTGACATCTTCTGACCCGGACTGAGATCCACCTGAGCTGTAAGGCTGACAAGAGATCCCTGACATGAGGCTGAAAGGGGGTTTGAACTGCTGCAACAAGTCACGCATGCAACTGGGTTGGGTGATGTCTCCAGTGATCACAGGGATGTCAGGGTGACAAGTCGCATGGAGGTGAGCAAGAGGTGTGCGCCATTCCACACTGCCAATGTGCTCAAATCCAGCAGCACACAGTCCAACACTGGAACAAGAGACCCCAGCGCACAACTCAACAACCCTAAGCATGTCACGGGCAGGAGAAAGTCCATGGGCAACAACCGTTGAGGCATCTGTGATGAGCAAATCCAAGGCACCAGGAGAAAAGTCCAAGACAGCATCCAGCACAGACAAACGGCGACAACCTCTGACCTGGTTGTTGATCTCCCCATATAACCTGACTTTCTGGGCATCAGGAACCGTCACTCCCAAAACCATCGATTCAGTATGGATGGTACAGTCAACCACCACCGAAACAATGCTCCCTTTGGGGGTTTTCGTCCAATCAGGTACAAACAGGTCATGGATAGCAACCATCGAGTCCCATTCCGACATGGCCATGCTAGAAACAACGCTCAATGTTCGGCAAAGCGCAGCACCCCAAGTGCTGGCAGGGAATTGAGCCGGTGCTTGTTCCAAACCACCAATCAGTGGAGATAAATAGGCCATTTAAAGGATGTAAGTTGAATACCAGCAAAGATTGTTTAGGGCTAGAACGAGATTTCACAATTTGTTGGCATAGAATCTGGTTGAATGATAAGAATTCACTAGCCCTTTGGGGATGAGTTCCCTGTAAACCATCAATCATTCCAGTGACAGAAAACGACGTGAAGTCATGATCAAACACATCCAGACATATGTTCAGCGATAATCCACTAGATTTCAATGATTATAGCCCTCATTATATTCCCATATGGATATTTACGACTGGATTAATAAACCTTGATTAAAGGGTACCATAAAAAAACATCAGATCTTCACTATTTGGGTAACCCCGATAATTAAGAAACAATGGTTTATTACTCCCTGGTTGACATCAACCAAGTGTTGGAACTCCCCATCAACCATGGCATAACCTGGTTGGTGGTTTCAGCCCCTCGGAAAAACGGAAAAATATGAAAGTCAATGGGAAGGATGACATCCCATATATTATGGAAAATAAAAGTCATGTTTGAAACCACCAACCAGATAACTTATTCTTAGATGTTAGTTTCATATAATTTCATGGGGGGACGGTAGATATAGCAAATACCCAACGATGATGAGTGACGGATATGATGACCAGCTTGAGCTGGTCGTTGACTCATTTGGATTGCAAGGCCAACCCACAAAATGACACCGCGCTGGCCACAAACGCTTTCAGGGCTACACAAAGGGCAACCAGTCCTGTCGAATCAGAATGACAACATAGGTGGCCTCAAAATCTGATAGCTTATTCGGCTTATCATCAATTTCCCAAGTTTGCCATTGAAATCGGGTTGTGCCGCCATTTTTTTTTGATCAACCCCATCTGTGGGTTGTCGGTTAGCTTGTTATATGACCATGGTTGGTCGAACCAGTTCTACAAAGTGGGGCCCCCAAACGATAGCTAAGTTGGTTTATAACTCCAATGTCACGAACTGGTTTATGGTACTGATAACGAACTAGTTATTGGGGCTTTTGTTAAGCTATCTAGGGGGCCCCACTTTGTAGATCTTGCCAGTGTATACCACAATCTCCAATTTTTCGAAAAGATGGCTCAACCTTGGACCATTTTGTTCGACCTGCCTCCATAGCCTCACCATGTACCCTGCCATGGCACCGACATCCCACAGAAATGGGAAACCACTCGCCGTTTTGGACCTGTCGCCAACTTTCGGTGTCTGAACTCGTGGAAAGGCGCAACATTCAATGGAAACATAGAAGATCTATGAATATCTATAATATACATATATATATATACATATATATATATATGTCAGCTATATATGGTCATCATCTACAAAATATCTATCAAATAGATCAAGTTTTCTAAAAATCATCAACGATCATGTGGTGAAACTGCGTAGCTCCAAACGCACCGCTCCCTGCCGATCTGACCCGGCTTAAGCTACACTGCTACACCATAAAATATCTACCCTCTAAAAATGCCTGGTTTAAAACAATAAAAACTAATTTATTTATATGTATATGTATATGTATATATGTATATGTATATGTATATATGTATATATGTATATGTATATGTATATATGATTTAATATTGTGTATATATATATATACATCCTATAATAGTTAAACAGGGGGTCGAACCAGCCACCCAAAAGAAAAGGGGGAAACTAGTCCGGCAAACCCTGCACATGTGACAAGCACCTTTTGCTCACAAGGCACTTGAGCCATTGCGTCAGCAGCGTAATCTATTAATTATACCCCGGTAGTTGTTGGGATACTAAGACTACCTACTTCTAACTCTGGCTCTCTACCTATCTACTGCAATTAGATAGGAGGTGCTATTCTGTACATCTTTGATGGGAATAGCTACATTGGATTATTGGTTCTCATAGCTACGGCAGTGCTCTACACATGACCTACTACCTATGCTATACATAGTGGGGCTCAGGGGTCGGTATATTTCAACTCCCCCCTCGCCTGTTCCACACGCACTGCGCATTGGCAGCATCCTAAGCGGCTAATGTCGCGTGAACGGAGGTTCACAGCGACCTAGGCTTTGGATTTAAGGTCTAATGGGAGGTCAGTACGGATTCCTAAAAGGATTAGTGCTGCTGCCCATTTGTGTGGAGGCAATGCTTTGGTGAATATGTCTGCCGCCTGGTCATCGGTGTGGGTGTACCCTATCTCGGCAGAGTCATCTCTGAAGACTTCAGACAGGCAAGACAAATTAACTTTGTGTGTTCTAGTTATATGGCGAAGCTTGGGACTATATCCTTTCTTCACAACTAGGATTGTTGCTTGATTATCTTCGTGGACCTTAAGGGTTACGGAGCGTGCAAGCAACAGCTCCCATAACTGTAAGGCAGGCAAGCCTTCTTGATAAAGCGAATGGGCTAAACTAACAACCTCGCTTTCCGTGGTCGATCTAGAAGTGGATGTTTGGCGCTTGCTAATCCATGCAAGTGGGAAGAAGGAACTAGGGCCAGTTAAAACCAAAAAGCCACCGGAGGTTGAGCGTGCAGTTGATCTGTCGCCGGCGAAGTCGGCATCGACAAATAGCCTGAGCTCTAGGTCTTCAGGTTTGTCCTGAATGGTACCTGCTAACCTGTAGTGTGGTGTTGAGGCTATGTACTGGATTAATCTTAGGACCTTCTTATCATCCCCCCTAGACCACGACTGGACCTTTGTGGCCAGATCATTGATAGGCTTGATGATGTCGGGACGTGCAAGTCTACCTAACCAAAGGGCTTTCATCAAAATCTTACATGCATTTGGAGCTAGTTCCCCTTTAGTTTCATCATCTTCAATGGTGATGGATCCCTCAGGTGGAAATGGCGTGGCGGCATGCTTGAGTTTGGTGACACCAGTTATTGACTTATACAAATCTACGGTCTGCTGAGCGTAGTCTGCCATGTCAAAAACCATGCCATCTTGGGCTTGGAAGGCTGCACATTTTTCATGACCTTCGGTCTTGGATAGTGGGGTAACAACATGGTTGCGTCCAAGAATCCTATAGATGGGCTCTGGGGGTTCTATGTCTACCACAGAAGTTAACTTACTCCAGAATGCATCATGCTGGTCGGCGGGGCCAGCTAGAGTTAAATCGTCTACATAAGTTGACAAAAGTAACTTTGTATCTGGGAAGTAAAAGTTTCCTGGGTATTCTGGAACTTCTTGCCCACCAAGGTTCTTGATGATGACTTTCAGGTGTTGTTCCCACAGGCCTCCGGCATCAGGATGACCGTATAAGGCTTTAATTAAGAGGACTACGGGCTTAACAAACTGTTGTTTCCAATACTTAGGGCGGAGCTCCGGGGGAAGCTCAATCCAGGTTTTGTATTTGGAAGATAACAGTGCTTGGACGTAAGCTTTGACTGCATCTGCAGCCGTCGCGCGGTTACCCGGCAGCGACCCATACGCCAGGCAGGCGTTTAGCCCTTGGACGGAAGTGGGATTTGCGCCGAGTTCTTGGTAAACCGCGGCTGCACCATGTTCGTCCTTTGCGCAGTCTCCTCTGTACACAATGCGCCCCTTCATTTTGTGAAGGTGGTCTGCAAGCTCGTAGAATTTAATGGACGCGATGGTCATGAGCTGACCAAAGTGTACTGATACACCCGAAGCCTTAGCTTCTTTGCGTACATCTTCCTTCTCGCGGACCGAGCTAAGGTCCCAAGTACCAGCCTTAACCAAACCATCGGCTTCGGCACGGATTGCCTCGAGGGCCTTGGGATTGGACAGCATCTCTGCACGGGATAAGAGCTTAGTGACCATAGCTTTGATCTCAGGCGTTGGCGCCTTAGGGTCTTCCAGGTGGAAGGCTTGAGCGATCAATTGTTCGTGGTCAAGAAGTTCTGTAACCAACCTATTAGCAGTGGGGTCTGATTCAACAGCTAGGGCTAAATCTTCAAAACCAGCTAATGGGGATACATGCTTAAGGTGCTGCTCAATTTCCCTATGGGGTTGAGGCTCGATGGTTGCCGGTCGGCAAGGCATAGCAGGAACGGACTGCTGGGCACATTTTGCGGGATACAAAGCTTGCGCAATTAGATTAGTCATTTGGGGCGGATACATTGCGGAGCGAGTGGTCTCAGCTCCCTCACATCTGGAATGAGGTTGCTGGCATCGGCACCGCATATCTTGAAATGCCTCTACAATTCGGGGAGAAGTGGTCTTGAGTTTCCATGGCTTTTTGATGGGATAACCATTTCTGTCGGTTAAACCTACGGTACACCCTTCAAAATCAACGGTCATAAACTGGGGATGCTTCTCAAAGAATGCTACAACGTCAGGCCTTTTCCAGCCAGAGCAAGGTCTTGGCCATTCAAACGTTACAGTACCACCATGATTGAGAACCCTTTCAGCGCGTTTTGAAAAACTCTGAAACAACCGTTTGGACTCTTTGACCTGGTGGGCAAGCTTCCTAATGAATGCGGCACCACCCCTCTTCCTATTGATATACTGCCAAGGGGATCCGGATGTGCAAGGGATAGAGGCCCACATGTGTGGAGGTGCAACTTTAGCGGCTTCATCTATCTGATAGTCAAGTTGCTCACATTGTGACTCATCTCCCAGGTCAATCCTATCCTTACAAAGTCTAACATGATTAATGCCATATTCTTGGTGAGTAAAACCCATCTGGGAGTCCTCAGAACAAGCAAATTCAAACATGGTTGACTTGGCATTGGGTCTGGAAGCTTTCTTGGCAGCTTTCCGGCTCCTACGATTATCGCGGTTAGTTGGCTTACCTACAGCGGGGCAACCAAAAACAGGCAGCGATTTTTGGCATAGGTCGGAACATCGATTGGCAACTTGGGGAAGAATAGCTACACCAGAAACGGAAACAGCAGGCTCGGCTGGAGCGCTGGGTTCGGATGACCCTGGTACCTCACCTCTTATGAAGATTT